GAAATAGTTGAGGCCTAGAGTCAAGGGATGCCGGGCCAAAGCTGTTTCATCAGTTGATGAGAGGGACCAAACTCGTGTGTTTCCGTTCTGTGTTCGTTTACTTTTGCTCTATATGTAATTCGTTTTGTGTCAAACTGAAAATCACGTGACATTATTTCACCTGTTAGAATACTATTCAACTGAAAAATGTTTGCTTTTAACCTACACAGATATGTTAGATACATTAGTCAAACAACTCAAGCTCTTCTGTGGAAAACTGTTGGACATTGTAGGAAAATGATGAATTATTGAGAAAACAGCAGGCTCCGGTGAATACTTGTTTAAAAGATAGACCACATCCAACAACCCACGACTCAGATCCTGGGAATGTGATGGAAAAATAGTTTTGATCGGAGTTTGTTCATTCATTTTCTAACGCTTATTCCTTTCCAGGGTTGTTTGAAGGAGCTGGAGTTGATCCCAGGAGTCATTGAATGAGGGTGGGGTACATCCTGGACGGTTTGCCTGTTCCTCACAGAGCCACGTACAGAGGTAAACAATAATTTCCACCCACACTCTTACCTCTGGTCAATTTAGTTTGGAGCATGTTTTTGACAGGAGGCGGATCACCTCGACGAAGCCGATGCACAGATGGTAAGAGGTGAAAACTTCATATAGAAAGTCATCAGCCGCTGGGGCCAAATCAGTCATCTAGAAAGTCATCAGCCGCTGGGGCCAAACCAGTCATCTAAAATAAAACAAACAAACAAAAAAAAGTCAGTCCAACCCTTGATATTAAATGTCTCATAGAACTACAAGATATATTTGATTTTATGCATTATTTTTCTTATCCAAAAACTTTGACGTCATTCAGTATCTTTGTCTATTGTTCTGCTTTTTCACAGTAGTTGTGTATCATAACAGCTTCCTTGTTCTGCTTTTTCACAGTAGTTGTGTCCTAATCATAACAGCTTCGTAGGACTGACTGGAACTAATCAGCTTATAGTCATTAGTGATCGCTATTGAAGTAATGTAATGACAGGTAACAGACAGATGAGGGCGACATTACTCTGTTCCTGACACAAAGATCTCAATGGTGGTAATCAGAAATATTTCTACACAAATTTACATTGTTTTGGGAAATTAAGATAGTAGGAAACTATTCAAGATTTACGGTGTGCAAAAAAATATGTTGTGACATGTTACTGTTTAGCAACAAGGCAGTGCGTTGCCAGTTAAAGCATCTTTAAAATAATTACCACTATGTTGGTGGTGCTTATTTGAATAGATCAATAACTAAAACTAGGTTTCTAACTAGTCTATGCAGGAGCTCCATTTATAATGCTAAATCAAAATGAAAATGTAGTTATTAAACCACACCAGAAGATGGCAGCAAAGCAAACGTACATATCTATCTATCTATCTATCTATCTATCTATCTATCTATCTATCTATCTATCTATCTATCTATCTATCTATCTATCCATCGTTATTTAATAACTACCATGTTAATTTTGATCAAATACTCAAACTCTTAGAGGTGGTAAAATTTTTTTGTTCAATAAAAAAATCATAAATCAGTTTTCATGTGGCAAATAGTAAATGTTTATACCCTTAGCGTTGTTGTTGAGTAACTGTTTTGACACGCAAGTTGATAAGTAAAGATTTAAGTTAGAAAAAAAACTGGTATTGACTTGTTGCAAATGCGTAATTCTTCGTTTTTAACTGTCGATTATAATAACACATAATAGTTAATGTGTTTACCACATGTTGCCAGATATTAAATTCCAGATAAGTCGAAATATATCAATCCCACTCTATAGTATTTTTGGTTTACAATACGAATTCTCGAAAACGTATCCAATTTTTTACCACAACTTTGCTGTCTGAGTTTGAATAACAGTCTTTTTTTCCCTAAGTGTTCCTGAAGGCATCATTAAGTAGTTTGAGTCCTTCCTTCCGCGTTTACCTGCTACAGTTCAGGGACAATGAAAAATGGGCGTTAGGTCGTGGATTGTTTAAGTTATTCAAAGTATTTTTTTAATTTCCTTTCGCTGGTTATTGGCACACATACTGTAGAGAGTTTTAGGGGAGAGGAAAAGAAAGAAAGGGGCATGAGCTGGAGAGTTAAACATAGAACATATAGTTGCAGTTAAGTTAAGTGTAAGAGTTTTTCTGCTTTTCCACAATGGGGTGTTGTAGCAGCACAGAGGTAAGTTGTTCTCAGATAAAAGAAAGAATTCTGTTTTTTTTTTCAGCCATTATTTACTTGTATAGAGTGTAAACGTCACTTCTTGGGCTTCGTGACTGCTGCTGGTTTGGCGACAACAACAACAACTCTTGTTAGCTAGTTGGCGCGCTGCTTTACAGAACAGCAGAATCGCTGCTGAGCTGAAGAAACAACAAGGACACTAACCGCTCCTGTCCTTTCCGTCTCTGTCGTTATGCCTCGGCAGGGAAAACGTGAATGGAAACCACTAGAAGAGCACAGCTGCACGGATATACCATGGCTCATCATCTTCACTTTGTTTTGCATTGGCATGGTGAGTCCCGAGATGACACCGTTTACTCAGTCACACCTGCTTTCAATTAAAGGGTACAACAACATCGTCGTTTAGTTTGACCGACGAAATTGTAGAAAAAGTTGAGACGTGATGCTTGTCGTCTTGTTTTTTTAAGTAAACAACTGCAATAATTTTATAACATTAGTCAAAAAGTCCACTCAATGCATATAAAAAAATAGCATGCATGGTTGCTATGCACTTCAAGTGTACAATGATCTGCTAATGTTAGCAGATGTTAGAGGAATGCTAAAACAAAATTGTTTTAGCATTTTGCGAACTTTTTGACAAAACAACGTTACAATATTTTGTTTTGGGAACGTTTTTCCTGAACGGATACAGGGAAAATACATTATTTTGAGGGGTTTTTTTAACATAATTTTGAACTTTTTCAAAATTTAAAAAAGTTAGTAATATTTAAAGAGACTTTGTCCAAACCAAACACAGGGTTCTCCAAAGAATTCAGTTATAATGTGACTTGTAGTTTTGTTGTTCTGATAACTGTTTAATTAAGTCTAAATGTTGTACCAGGCATGCAAACAACACTTAATAATAAATGAGATATTTGATGCTAGAAACTTTTTTCAGTCACAATGGAATAATAATGTTCCATGTTTATATATTCCATAATATTCCAGCATAAACTACAGCTACAGTGAATATAAAGTGAAAGACTCTTTCTGTACATCCATGACTCCATGCCAGTAATTTGATTTCCTAAATCAGACAGTTCAATTTAAAAACTGGTCTGTGTCAGATGTATCCTGTGCATTGTATACATAATGGTATATATTTCTAAAATCTGACATTTTTATATGACATGTTGGATGTTGTCTAATCTCCTGTGTTTCGTCTGCAGGCATGCATATGTGGCTACCCTATAGCCACAGGCGCTGCCGCCAGGCTGGCCTTAGGTTATGACAGTTATGGCAACACCTGTGGTCGGAACAACACCCAGATTGAAGGAGTACCTCTCAGTGGTCGGGACATGAGAGAAAACAAGTGAGTCTGGCCATTTGAAGATTGTTTACAGCGTTACTTTTTAGCCTCAAGTCCTTTCTGAACAGCCTGGTCTTTGCTCATAATTTAATCTTATACACTCAAAGATGACTCAGTTACGGATTTAATTTACAGAAATTGGCAGAGTGTGCACACTTTGTCCCCTGAAGCATAGAGTTGGTGGCATTGTTTTTGCAAGAATTGCATCATGCAGTCAACAGTAAATCTGATTCATAATAAACAGCAGAATGCTGCACATATTTGAGATTATTTTCTGTTTTGATTACGTAGTCAAGAAGTTACAATCTTACGTTGACTTGAAAAATCTCCCGTCTACACAGAAGTCTTTTCGTACACACGTAACACAGCAGTTGTGGTAGTTGTCAACAGGGGACAACAGTCCCAGTGTTCCTGGACATTGTCAGGAATCAGTCTCATGTCTGCTCTGTCCAGTGATGGTATCAGTCCAACAGCATATTCCGATAAATGTCAACCACATACAGCTATACTGACCTGTTATCATCAACCACATAATGTTTTTAACATACATAAATGGTATGGTTAATTTAGGATCACATCTGTCTCCTTTTTTATTATCAATCTGATGTAGTAAGTCACAGATACTCAGTGGAGTATTTTTTTATTTGTATTTTTGCTGTAGATTTCCATCAGCTCACAGTATGCAAGCCCAGTTTTACCAAAACAATGGGTCATGGTTTGTTGGGCTGATTGCCCATGTGGAATTTGAATAAAAGGCGTTTGTGCCACAAAGAAGGATCTGTCTGACAGGGTTGAAAATGTCAACATCTGTCGTTTTCTGACTATACGAAGCAGTGCTTTTTTGCATAGATTTAACATATATTCTGATTTGTGGTAACATGTACTGCTGATAAATCTGAACTTTTTATTTGCTCTCTTAGGTATGTTTTCTTCTTGGATCCCTGCAACCTTGACCTCATTAACAGAAAGATCAAGTCTATTGCTCTGTGTGTTTCCAAATGTCCTTCTTCTGAACTGAGTACATATGAGGATTTAAAGAAGTTTTCATTGAATAATGGTGAGAAATCTTCACAAAAACACACAAAATGTGGTTCAGAATTGTTTCACTTTCCTACATTAGCAAGACACAGACAGACTCTGGGTGTGTCTCTGTATGGTTTTTTTTACTGTGTTTATCTGTTGATTTGTCTGTTTAGCACCACCTAGCCAAGTAGGAAAGTGAAACAATTCTCTCTGGGTGTGTCTCTGTATGTTTTTTTTTACTGTGTTTATCTGTTGATTTGTCGGTTTAGCATCACCTAGCCAAGCACACGCATACACACACACCTACACATACACACACACACCTACACATACACACACACACAAGCTTTAGTGTATTCAGTCTAAAGTATTCTTTTTTTGTTTTGCAGAGAGATTGTTTTGTGCACATAAACTTATGAATAATAAATTTTCATCTTGGTAGGCTCCCAGCTCTGTTCCTATGATATTTCTCCTACAAGATACACGAGCCACTCAGAAAGATTCACCAAATGTCCCAAACTCCCTGTTTCACAGAGGTAATCCAGCGTCCAGAGTCATTGCATTAAATAATAGTGAATTCTACATTAACAAAAAATAATTTCAAGTCTGATTTTTTTTCCGATCTTCTTTACAGTAAACCCATTCCTGTGTTTGACCGCTGTATCCCCACCGACATCGGCTGCTATGCCGAATTCGCTCAGTCTTTCATCACATTTGTCAGTGACAACAATGTGCTGCGCCGCGTTGTTGCTGGAGTCATGGCCAGCAAGGAGATCATCATGGGCCTCTGTATTCTGGCCTTAGGTAACTGTCATAATCATTCATAAAAGCTAGCAGTGTTTTATAAATCTATGGATTAAAATATAAATGTAGAACATTTACAGTAATTCATTCGCCAACAGAGTGGAATTAAGAACTTTGGCGATTGTGGATACTTTTTAAAAGCCTCTATGTTCCTGTGAGAACCTGCAGATATGTTTCTTCTCTTCTCTTCCTCCCATCTTTTATCTCTGGATGTTTAGCTTCATGGCAGCTGTCTGAACAGCAGCTATTTTGCTCCAAATAATAACAGGAAATGTCTGTGGTCTCACCATGCATCCACTTAAGTTTCGTTTGCAGCCATTACTTAATTTTCCACTCACTTTATATGACAAGATGAGAAAGTGTGCGGATCTGTCTTTTCACATATATATGTGTGTGTGTGTGTGTGTATATATATATATGTATGATTGCATATATGTATACAATCCTGTATAGGTTTATATGTGTATATATCATATTTATATATGCAAATTAACATTGTCAGGTAGAGTTTTCTCGTACCATCCCTTAATCTCTATCATTCCACAGTGTGCCTGTTAAAAAGCCATATTCCTTAAAATCAATTCAGTCTAAATGATCATCATCCAAATTGTTGTGGGTTTCTTCCTGATACAGTTCTATCCCTGATCATGATGGTCGTCATCCGGTACATCTCCAAAGTGCTGGTGTGGATTCTCACAGTTCTGGTGATCATTGGTTCATTAGGTAACTAGAAACTTCCAAAGGTTCCAAATGGTCTTGGGTTGACTTTCTTAATTATGATCACTCATCTTTTCATTTCTTCGATTGTTTACAGGGGGGACCGGCGTCCTCTGGTGGCTGTATGTTGACCACAGGAGTGCACTACAAAATAACACCACCTCTGTGTTGGGGAACGAAGTGGCTGCAGACAACGTAAAAGCCCTGCTTGTTTACGCGATTGGGGCAACGATTTTCACGGTATGTTTTGCGTGTATGCCTACCTATACGTACAACTTATTGCACAGTTGAGTCATTGAAATGTTTTTGTTGAACTTACAGGTCATCCTCCTCTTAGTCATGTTTTTCATGAGGAAGCGAGTGGCCCTCACCATCTCTCTGTTTCACGTGGCTGGAAAAGTCTTCATCCATCTTCCTCTGCTGGCCCTGCAGCCTTTCTGGACTTTCCTCTGTCTCATGCTCTTCTGGGTTTACTGGATTGCTGTGCTACTCTTCCTCGGCACTACAGGTCTGGACTACAAAACCCTCCATTAATTGCTCAATTAATGGATGTTCGTCACCTGCACTGTTGTTTAGCTTTACGGTAGTACAGACCAAATTTTAGCATTTATTAGATTCAAGACTACACAAAGTAGAATGTAGACTTTGAGACATGTGACATTTTGTCCTGGTTTGGTGGCATGACCTCACTCCCACATCTGAAAACTCGTGCCAGTGTTGTGATGTAGGAGGATGGAATTGAAGAACCACTTCTTTCTTTGACTCCTACTTCCAGTTTCTACTGCTTGAAGTAAAAATTTACCACAGTGGTATTTCTTAAGTACTTTACGGTTTCATTTCCTGTTTCCTAATTCTTATATAAATGTGGAAGCAGGAAAACATAAGCGATTACATTTTATATTTTGACCTTTTTTTACACTATAATGTTTGTAGTGTCATATAGTGCGTTCATAGTAAATATATTTAATAAGATATGTTCTAAAGTTCATTTCAACTACTTCAGGAAATTTTCCATTATGTACATTTGATCTATTTAGTAAAGTTGTTGCACTGTAGAAAATAAAAACAAAAGTTAAGGATTTTTTATTTGTTCTGATCATACTTGGGTTCTCTCCACACAGGAACACCTGTAAAGAACAACATCACAGGTGTGGTGGAGTACCACATGCCGGAACCGTTTCAGTATGTGGTGTGGTATCACGCTGTGGGTCTTATTTGGATCAGTGAGTTCATTCTCGCCTTCCAACAAATGACTATCGCCGGTGCCGTCGTCACCTACTATTTCACCAGGTAAAAAACAATGATTTTCATGAGGATTATCATTTACTACAGATGTGTTTGTCATTTCAAGCATGTCTTGATTGTTTGGTCTGGATATATTCAGGAATAAATCCCAGATGCCAATTACTCCAATCCTCTCCTCCATGGCTCGAACCGTCCGCTACCATCTGGGAACTCTGGCCAAGGGCTCCTTCATTATCACACTTGTGAAGATTCCCCGTCTCATCCTAACGTACATCCACAGCCAACTCAAAGGGAAAGTAAGATGTGAAATTATTGTCATTATTATTGTTATTATCATATTTTGACAATGTGATACTTCGATTAAAACAACTTTTCTCCATTTCTCCGTGACAGGAAAACGCCTGTGCTCGCTGCATGCTGAAGGCCTGTGTCTGCTGTTTGTGGTGTCTGGAGAAGTGTTTAGCTTACCTAAACCAGGTGAGTAAGGGAAATTTAAATACAGTAGTTTTACAAAGTTTAACCTCTTTAAAATTCATCTGTACTAGCAGAAACACATGAATAGATTCAAATGTTTCTATACCTTAATCCATAAATATACTTTTTTACTCCTTTAATATTCAATTATAATCTTTAATAATTTTGTACATGTTCTGCAAACCACCATTAAGATGCACAGTAGTGACTTTAATCCACCGACTCTATGAAGCTATATTATATATTATTATTCTACTCTTTTCTATATTAATAAAATCTAAATAAAGCAAAAGTCTAGCTGCTTTTGATGATTAATTAAAGGTCATTTATTGTGATTAAGAATAATTAATTATAATAAAACCACAGCTGTAATTAATCAACATTTTTTGAATAATTTGGTAGCCATATTTTTATTTCAAAAGAAGCCTAGCCACCAGAGGGCAGCAGAGTTTATCCTAGAACAAATTTGGTTTCTATTTAATAAAAAGTGATAATGTAATCATGTTTTTTTACAATAAAGTGTTTAATGTTATAATCTTCTCTCCTGTTTAAACACCTCCTAATGCTGATTAAACACATTTGCCACATATTCCAGAATGCGTACACTGCCACAGCCATCAACAGCACCAATTTCTGCACATCAGCTCGTGAAGCTTTCCTCATCCTGGTGGAGAACGCCCTCCGAGTGGCTGCTATAAACACCGTGGGAGACTTTGTGCTCTTTTTGGGAAAGGTAGCAAACTTGGAAATGTTTCCAGTGTCTTCTTGAAGTAACCATGAAACCAACCAGAGTCACTGTTTCCTGTCAGGTGCTCATCGTCTCCTGTACGGCGTTTGCTGGCGTCCTGGCTCTGAATTACCAGAGGGACTACACAGTGTGGGTGCTGCCTCTCCTCATCGTCTGTCTGTTTGCCTTCCTGGTGGCACACTGCTTCCTGTCTGTGTTTGAGAATGTGGTTGACGTCCTCTTCCTCTGCTTTGCTGTGGACACAAAGTATAACGACGGCAGCCCTGGGCGGGAGTACTTCATGGACAAGACCTTGATGGTGAGAGCTCGTATATTGGTGTTTATTTTATTTCAACATGTTCTCCTTATTAGATTTAATATCTAATATAGTAATGATAATATTTTTGTTTAATTATTTTTCCCAGGAATTTGTTGAGAACAGTAAGAAAATGCTGCGGCACAAGTCAGAGGTTGGAGATGGAAAAGAGATGAAGTCCATGGTAGGCTGAAACTCCTTTGTAATTTATGCAAAATGTTAAATGTGTTTGATTTTTTTGCTTTTAAATTAAATCATAAATCTTTTTTTTTGCAGACACGTGGAACAGTAGCTTGACTGATCACCCTTAGGTGGAATAAACAAAGATAAATCCTAAAATTTAACTCAGAGTTTGTCAGCGTTTGACCCCAGGGATGCTAATGAGATAACAGCAGCTTCGTGTGGAAGCATAACAGTAAGCAAGGTTTTGTTTTTGAAACAACAGGAGTTGCTATTTTTAATATAACACTAGCCTTTAATAACGTTTGAGTGTGTTTTGTTACTGCAAAATGGTTGATATGATGAGTTAAGGTTACCCTTATTCCACGTTTCTGTTAGATTTTAAATGTTGGCGTGATTGTAACATGGTTTAACATGTTTGCTCCTGTATTTTTGTCATGTTCACAAGGTCCACTGTACATTTTTGAAACGTGTGCCTCAATTTTGATATAGGCTGTCAATTACAGTATACATTTGCCTCTTTAATAAAATAAAAACGGTTCTGTTGTTTTTATTGAGCATTTCCCGCCCTTGTCTGCTTTGGATTTCTGTGGTCTAACGTATGTACTTCCAAATTCTTATCGATAGAGGGAGCAAATGAACCTCCTCTTCCGTGTAAATGTCGAGGTCGTCATTTACCTAAAAGATATATCAGGTGACGTCACGTCATAACAGAAAAAACCTGATGCTTTTGCAAACATTTAAAGTGCTAAAAGGTAGTACTGTTTTTCAATTCAGATTTGTACAGCTTTGTGTAAAGAAAGAAGAAAAGAAACCAAAACTACTACAAACATTTAAACAAAATCAAACGTCTCCGAATATCGAGCTGTATATTTGTATTTGAACCACCAGATGGCAATATTAGCTCACTTTCTTTCAACTAATGACGACGTCCTTCATCGAGCAGTCTTCTCAACCACGTTGTTTTTACTATTATTTTGAATGTTTAGGCTAAATTATGGGTAAATTATGTTAGGAAATAATGTAAATTTTGATAGTTGAAGGATTGAGGGTCGACGTAGTGAACACAAGGATTACTGCTCTTGTTAAAATCTGAAGAAGGAACCCATAAAAATTACATTACAGAAACAGCAACCCGAGGATTCTGATTGAATACAGCCTGTTGACCCTGTGTTTCTCACTGTGATTCATTCAAGCAGACATGGAACAACAGCTTAAAAACATTTGTGAAAACGCGGTGCTCATAGGTAGACTTTGGAGTTGCATTTTATTTACACTTTACAATTAAAGAAAGCCAGCCTTGTTGTAGGTCTGAGTGTGCATCTCCTCCTGATCCCCTTTCACGCTCCAAAAACATGCAGTGTTAGGTACTCCATATCAAGCATAGGTATAGATGTGTATAGAGTGTTGTTCCTGGTCTCCATTTGTAGCCATGTGATCGACTGGTGAACTGTTCAGAGTTCACAGACATGTATTGTCCTGTATTTTCAAGTTTAAATTAACCATGGAGGTACAAGTATTCAACCAGAAATTGGTTTCCCCATGTGATGAGTGAATTCTCAGTGAGTACAGAAGACTTTCCTTTTTTTTTCTCTCCAGTTTCTTCCCAATCCACTATTGAGCAGGCAACAATCAAGGCATTAAGCAGAGGTTATCGATGGGAGAGCACTCTCTGCCTACGGCTCCCTGCCTCAATAAAAAACAGAAATCTAGAGGAAAATGCTTCGATTGTTGGTCGAGAGTCACACCTAAGTGATTTCTGTGGTCCTCACAGACCACTAATCCCTCCAGGAACCCTTCTATCTTTGCACTAAAATACTGGGAAACAAGTTTCAGCTAAAAGCTCCCTGGATGGGTAGCAGGAAATATGAGCTGTAATTTTCTCTCTTTTTACCACTTGAATCAACACGACTGTGGTCTTTATGATTACAGGTAAAGATTTACATAGAAAAGAGCCAGAACTGGAGGAAATGCCTGCTGCAATTTAGTTCACTCAATTGCCCTGGTGATTATTGTTCTTATCTCTAGAAGCACACAAGGGGTCGCTAAAAATATCTAATTATGAACAGTTACAGTAAATAGTCCTGAGTCATAAAACCAGTGCAGCCTCAGACGTTCTTTGTGTTACGCTGTTGGGGCGTGTAACGTGAGCTTACAACGTGTGTTTGTGGGATCATGCATGTGTATTGAGCAGCAGTGACTGAACCATCAAGATGAGCCACAGTGCCTTCTCAGCAGCTTACACTGGACGCTTAGCTCAGAACTTTTTAGCGGTACTTACACTGGGCCCATAAACAGGACGCGACCACAGACAACAGTCAACAGTCGATACTTCTTCCACAAATTATCAATATGTTGAGACGTCATGTAAGTATGACGTGGGCACACGGGGCAGAGATTACCCATCATGCCTCCAGAGTGTGGAAAGTGATATACGGTATATAAAAAAACAACCTTGCGTCACAGAGTGCTGTTTGTCCAAGAAACCTGATTTCCCAACATCAAATGTGCTTCCTGTAATTGCTTTTTCCCATCAGCACTCAGTCATTCTGACTCCCTGTATGCTGTCAGATCACTTTTTATTGTTGGTGTGGTTCCAACAGCGGGCTCTACGGTGTGGAAATTAGCCAACAAGATATTATCACTCCACAGTTCTCTCATGGTCAGCACATGGGGTGGAGATTTTACTGTTTCCTTCCTTTGGATGTGCAGACAGGCCTCAGTGCCAGAACACACAGCGTGGAAGTTCCTTCAGACGTAACGTAACTGTGACTGAGAGGAGCACAAACAAACTTTTCTACCAGTTTCTTTGCAGTGTTTATTATTATTTCTGCTCATCATATGTTTTAGAAACACTCATATCGGTGCTTATGTTTGTGTATGAGCTGGCGTGTTTGCTGCTTAGATGGGTCTGACGGTGACTCATAAAATATTCACCTTTTCTCCTGCATAATGCAGTAATGCTCTGGCACACAACTCTCTTGTCGGAGCGGCAGAGTTCGTCACTCCTCACCACTCTCAGAGCTACTGTTCTCTTTTTACTCCAGCCAGGCAAAAATACTTGTGTATACTTAACACTGATTATGACTGATTACTGCTAATTAATTTACGGTAGCAAAGGCTGCTGGTTCAATCAAAAGCCTTTTTTTCTGCATGTGTCTTCCTGTGTGGGGCGTGGTCCCAAAACATGCACGGTTATGTCATTGTGTCACTACTTTGGCTACAGCTTTGAGTCTGATGATTGTTCCTGTTGAGTGGCTTAACTGTTATGAACTGAGGAACTGTCCATGGTCGACCCTGCTTCACCCGGTGACTGCTGGGATTGACACCAGCCCCGCCCACTTCCATAGCAGTAACAGATGGATTATTTAGTCATTGGAAAATGGGTCCACCAAAGGTAGAAAATGGTGAAAAAAATCAGTTTGAATGTCCAAATTTAAAAAAAAAAGTTTATCCACAAAAATCAGGTCAAATTTCAAGTCAAGTTGTCGCCAAATAATCCATTCGTACGTCCGCTAATACGTACGCCATCAAATCAAGCCACGCTGCACGGCTAACATTGGTCAATATAGTTTTATTTTCAGCAAATCATACATACACTTTAAAAATGCACCTTTAAACAATACCAGAGCTGTGACGACAGTGTGGGATTGGTTGAGAGTGGCTACAGTGTCTGAGGTCGTTATGATGATGTCATCACACCTAGAAAACAGCACAGATAAAGACTCGCCTCTCCTATTGTCACTGTGAAAAGGGGATAAAATCCAATAAAAAAGAAGCAAGCTAAAAAATAATAACAGTAGTAATAATAATAATAATAATTATTATTATTATTATTATTATTGTTACTATTATTATTATAACAATAATAAAGGACTATTGGGCTTTTGAATGGCACTTTATAGCTAATGATACAACATAACTTTCAAATGAAAACACAGCCAGACAGCAGAATAATAAATGAAACTATAGCACAGCATGTCCCACGTCTGCAGTCACGACACTTAGCAAGAACACACATATCTGGGTAATCTCGTTTGAAGTTTTCATCCCTGGCAGATATACACTAGAAGTAACAGATCAAGTCAAATCTAGCCATTAAAAAAAATGTAACTGCAAAAAAACACAATAAGATGATGATATTTCCCCCCCAGATGGAGACGTATTTACCAAAGCTTTCTCTAGTCTGGGATACAATAAAACAAAAAAAAAAGTGTAAATCCAGTAGTGACTAAATGTCAGGTCGTTGCTATAATGTATCTTTACCTTCCTGCTATCTATAAAACAACAGAGGGATTCTGAAAAGTTGGCCTAGGGATAACAACATGACTGAAGCGTCCAAAGTAATAAGCCATACCAAAAGTGTCTGAGCTTGACAGTGAAGCCACACTTATTGAGCATAATTAAGAGCTTAAGTCAGTAAGGTAAGCATGCTTTACTAACTATTACTGCCATCTGTCCTGACCGGCCCAAGGCACACCCTAACCCTCTACCCTTTATCCCTATGGAGACATCATCATCAGGTCTGCATCACTCTGCGGTTTGATTCCTGTGCGGGTGATTTGCTCTGGTATTGTGTGCTTCAATCCCATTAAGTCCAGAGCTTTGTGTCTGTGCCTTCTCCACCACATCCCCGGCACGTTTTCATCACGGCCTACAGGTGTAGTTTCAACTGGAAACGCTGAAGGGGATTTTCTTTTTTTTTTTTTCACCCTTCTGTTTTGGTCTTCAACAAAGGTTTAGCCATCAATTCTACGGTATAAATGCACAGCAACAAATCAGTTTCATCTCCTGTATTCAACCCTGGATTAGAAAAATAGACACTAATAACACCCTCGCCCCATAACAACGACGAACCAGGCAGTAATCGTCTTCACGTGTCGCCCAGTCTTTCGGATGATTTCACTTGATTTGCGCCTCGTTATTTCCTAAGCCACACAACAGATTTTCCTCTTTCTCTCCATATGAAGCGAGTCAAAGTCATGTGTTACCTCACAGTTACTGTCACAGTTACAACTCAAGAGCAAAAGAAACCTTAAAAAAGTACAACGTTATCTTGTTTGCATCAGTGAAATCCCAACTATACACAGGAACGTTTGGTTGACGATGTGAGGGATTTCTCAGAGTAATTATGGAATGAAGTACAGGAAATCTCTTAAACATTTACCCTCGGGCACCGACTCACTCACATTTGAGCGCCGCACTAGACAAGACACACTAGAAGACATCAAATGTCCGATGAAAGGAGAGCCTTTTCAACGTGTCCAAATTCAAATCCAAACGCAGTGCAGTTCACTTTATAGTTTTTCTGGTTGTCTCAAAGATGAACAAGTGTCGTTGTTCAATCAAATGTACACCTACACAGAGGAAACCTATTGATCTTTGCATGAGATTTCTTTTCTATTGAAACATATGAACAAACAATACACAGAAAGTAGTCCATGGGTCGTTAGTTTAATTAAGTATCTGCCTGGGGAGTCACCTAGAAACGTGCATTTTGATGAAAAAGGTTTTCTTTCTTTTTCTCTTTTTTCTAAAAAAAAAAAAAGTTATGACAGATATTCATCGTTGCCGTCGTCATCGTCTTCATCTTCAGCGTCCTCATCATCCATCTGTTCTTGGTCGTTGAGGACAAATGCGTCTTCATCGTCGTCAGCGAGGAGCAGGTCTCCACTACCGAAGTCTCCAGAAGATTCCACAACCACTCCTAGTGGGCGGATTTTAAACGACAAATTACACCGCAAATATTTGCTTTTTTGGTTAATTAAAGGGTCAACACCAATGTGATGTTTGTAAAGTGAATTTAGCAACATGAAACACACAACAGTTTCGTTTGGTAAACACACCTGAGAGTAAATATCTTGATCTTTTAGAACCAAAACCAGAAAAACTCATCTTTCCTCCACGTCAGTGCTCTACTCACCGCAGTCTGCTGGGCCGTGGGTGCGTGAACCGGTCACCTCATTGCCGTAGCGATCCACACACCAGCACTGACCGCTGCTGCTGTGACACTGATGAGTTCTGTAGTAGCCTTCCTCATCACAGGACGGCAGATACTGGCCTACGCAGGCGAGCCACAACACAGAGCACAGTCAGATTTACACGTGGTTTAGTCCAACTACAGCTGCAGCTGCTGTGGCTCAGAGGACGAGCATATTTATTTAGAGTGTGAATATGGACCATATTACTATGACAGGTGAGGATCACATCCCCTTTCTTTCAACCCTTAATTTGTTCTGTTTATGTTTGACAAGGGAGCAGTTAGCAACTTAGCTAGCAAAGCACAATGAAGGTAACAGCTTAGCACCCCCCCCCGTGTACTTAATAGATGTTATTGACCGCTGCTACGCAAAGTACGTTTTCTACATTCAAACGTTCAGAAGATTGTCAGCTAAAAGCTAACATACTGTATGCTAAAGCACATTAGCAGGGAATAGCTTTAAGAACTTTACCGCTGTAAACGTGAAGCATATATATAAGGAGAGAGAGAGAGAAAACAGTGTGTGTCCATCCTACCAAGGAGCTTCTTCCCTGCTTGCTTCTTGTTAATACTGGACAGCTCAGCTTTACAAGGCGAATCTGGAAAAAAAAGAAGAATTTTTTGATCTTTAAAAATGCACTGTTTTAGGGATTCATATATGTATAGACAGGGACTTTTTTTTAATTGACAAATTAATTCACAATAAAAGCAAACCTTTCAGTGCTGCGCCTAAAATTAGAAATACTGGGTCAGAAACAGTCAGAAATATAGAATATCTACAGTACATGCTGTGATGGCCCTCGGCCATGTTGTGTTCCTGCTGCCTTCCCTCCACTCCACCCTTCCCAGGTGTTCCCTGCTGGTTCCCTCCCACCTCGTTGGGGGGAATCCACCTCACCTGTCTGCCTGAACTATAAAGGCAAGGCCTTTCCAAGATGGCCGCCCTCTCTTTTACTTTAAAATACACCACTCTCTGCCTCCTGGGGGTTCATTTCTAAACATATTCATGGTCTTTTTAAAGCAAGAAGATCAAATGTAGCTGGCTAGCTCCAGAGCATCCATCTGATCTATGTAAAACACGTGACTGTATGTTTGGCACAGTTGGTATTTTACCATACACCAGATGGTAGATTACATTTTAAGATTATATCGACAGATTGTTTTGAAACTGTGCACCTAATCCTTTTCAGCCTCGTGGGGGCGCTGGACCTGGTCCCAGCAGTTATCTGGCCAGGTACTGAACAACCTGTACAGTTCTGCAGTCCATCACAGGACCTCATGTTGATAAACAACTCTGTCCTAATGTCTTTGGACTGGAGGAGGAAACATGCAGTGGGCTAATGAACTGCCCAGGGTCTACCCCGCCCTCTGCTGTTTACAGCTGGGATTGGCTCCAGCGATGTTTTTAACGTACGGATAACGGTAAATATTTCCAAAAACTTGAACTGAATATCATTGTGAATACATATACAAATAAACAAATATGCAGATACCTTACCTGTATAGCTCTGGAAGCATGTGCACCATTCAGAGCTGGTTACGACTCTGTCTGCATGTGTGTCACAGGATTTAAAGAAGGCATCGGAGCACGGCTCGTTCCTGTCCAGGTACAGGCTCTTGATCTCAGCCTGCTCCAGCAGGAGGTCGAAGTTTGTGTCCAAGCGGGAGAACATCCAGCCCAGCGGCTCCTTACAAGTAGGTGAAGCCCCAACCTCAAACTCTACAGCAAAAGAACAGGTGCAGGGGGTGAGGAGGGGACGAGAGGGGAGGGTCAGGTCAGGCACAACAGTGTGATTTGATCCAGGATAATGAAAGTCTGACTCACTGCTCTTCTCGGGCTTCTGGAACTTCACTCTCTTGTGGTTGCTGTTCTCGTGCAGCACTCTGAACCAGTCTCTCAGACGACCCACCACCTCCTTCAGGTCTGACTCACTGCACACTGAGAATTAAAGCACTGATGATCAATGAAACACAAACGAACATTAATGGCTTTTCTCTAGAATTCTAACTGAAGAGATCAGCCAGCTTCCACAGAGGACACCTGCAGTTCTTTCAGTTTTTATTTAATTCTTTATATTTATATCTGTAGTGGTCTTGTCTCAACAAAACATTTGAACTTATATTCTCCCACTGCTGTTTAAGCTCTCCATGGACACAGTTTCAATTCTAAAGAATTTTAATATGTACAGATATAAATCTAAATTTGATTATGTAATGACTGCAATTAATATTTTTGAATTTCAAACGTACTCTTCTGCTCAGAAGGATTTGCTGTTTTTTTTTCTGTGTAGAAATGCGTACCTTTGTCCTCTGCAGAGCTTTGTTCAGGGACTGAGGTGCAGGGACACATGCCTGAGCACTTCACCGCGATCTTCTTCTCTGTGATGCATGCCTGATACTCCAGCTTACACTGACCACAGACAGGCAGAATGAGACAGAATGTGGAAGTAAAAGAAGGAAGTGAGCTTCGATAACAGGAAATGAAATAGTAACTTGGGTTTTATTTGTTGTAACAGTCGCTGTGATTGTGTGTGTTTGTGTAAACACCTTGGTGGAGTACGTGTGGCCATCGGTTCCACAGACAGGGGAGGGATGGACCACAGGGCAGGGTTTGCACTTCGAGCCTGGGCTGTGGTCCACAGTGGGGTCTTTAAAACTAGGACAGACATTGACATGAATAGAGACAGTAAATCTCTCACCGTCTGTAAAATGACACATCGTTCATTCTTTTTTTTTTTTTTTCGAAGCACCGAGTTTGTATTTCATCCAAAGCTTCAACCTTGAATTTGAAAACGAGACAAGGATTTGTTTGGAATTATTTTCTGACCTGCTCACAGTGCAGTTATAACTGGACTGGTGCTGAGAGCAGGAAATGAGGTCAGGGTGGTTGACAATATCATTACCCTCAGCAGCTACACTGAGCTTGGTAGAAAAACTGCAGTAATCAAGAGACACGTATATATATATATTACAATACTAATACACGTGTGAGCTGAAGACATTTACACGACGTGTGTAACAGTACTGTATACGGTGTTTTTAAAAAATAAGATTAATTCAGAAGTTCCTAATTCATCCCACAGTGAGGACATTTAGAAGTACAGTACAAAGTATAGCACAGTGCTATAGGAATAAATTGAGAATGTAGACGTTGCACCTATTATTGTTATCACATAAGGTAATGCTATTTATATGGTCTTCGGTGCCGCTCCTTCAGGCATTTTGGGTGTTCCAGTCTGTTCAGAGATGGTATCGTCTTCGGTGCCGCTCCTTCAGGCATTTCGGGTCTCAATATTCCCCCCAGGAATATTGAGAACCCTGTTTGCAGCCTGGCTGCGGGTGCGAGGATGTTTGCGTGAAAGTGAGCGTCCTCTTACCTAACTCTCCTTTTGCTCACACATGTGGCCGTCTTGTAATCCTCAGTCACACACACCTTGTGACGACTGCATTTGATTTTCAGACAGGGGTCCTTGGCAGGATCAAGGCCTGAGAACATGAAGCAGTCATTAGGTCTGTGAACTGTACAGGTGAGGACAGGTAAAACCCAGACTTTCTGTTTGAACTTTCTTGAAAGACGGAGCCTTTGAGCCAGTACCCTGGGATCAAATTTCCACCTTCTTCTCTGGTAGCCTGCATCATACACACATCCTTTTATGTCTTAAGATCTGAGGTAAACGCAGAGGTTTTTGATGGTGTGTGTTAATTTAGCGTCTGTCTCCTACAGCTCCTGTAACGGACCATGTTTCTCTCACGCTCATCACCGAAGTCTTAAAGCCACTAAATGTCCTTACAGCTAAAAACAGATGGGCCTGGTGACGGAGGCTTCTCACTTCTTACATCACACTGCACTCAATGTCAATCTCAAACTGATCTGGAATCAGATTCGCCCTCACAGACTCATATGTTTTGTCACTTTGTGGTACGTTTCAGAACCATGTCTGAACCCGATTGTGTGATAGCACTTTGTAATGACTGAGGCTACACGTCTGCGTCTCTGCAGCGTTCAGAGCGACATCCACCAGCACCAGCTAAAACCAACGTCTGATCTCAGTGCAGTTCGTCAGTGACCTCCTCTCTAAAGAACCTTACAGTAATCCCAGAACAGCTTTGGAGGATTATCCTGCCTCCATCATACCAACGCACTAAGCTTGTGTTATTGTTTCACCAATGTGTTATTATGTGTGTTGAGGATAAAGTTATTAGTAAGTGTGACTAAGTGTATATGTTCATGTCCTGATGTGACTGGAGTTTCTCTCTCCTACTAAATGAATGGAGAATTAAAACAGGTGAAACATCATTTGATTTGATTTCAATTTCTTATCATTACCCACCTTGATCGAAGGCCTTTGACGTGGCCCACGTTCCGGGCTCCTGAAACACCAGGAGAAATTACAGTCATACTGTTTACTAATTACACAGATTGGCAGTAAGTGGATTATAAAGCAGTCAGACAAACCTCCACTTCCTTTAGTAGAAAGCATTACAGGGACATAGAACGAAATAGAAGTTGAGTTAAGATGAGAACTTCTAAGTGAAATTTTTTTAGAAAACCTTTGGAGTAAAAAATACGTCACGCACACAACAAAAACAACACACAGGAGCATGCATGTGTACTGTCAACATAAGGTAGATGAGTGGGGAAGATGGGTCTGTGTGTGCTACTGCTTCCCTCTTGTACTGTATTAAATTTGCATTGTATTGGAAATTTCATTAGTGACAGTGTAAGGTTTTTATTCTGCGATTGCAAAAAAAAAACTTTAAACACAGGTGTGTTCAATCTGAATGAGTTCCAATATCAGCCTCAGGATAGTACCTCAAAAACCCCACGTGCTAAGTATAACGTTCAGTGCATACATCAAGCCTTTCATGCACTGTTAGAACACTTGTTGTTATACCCTGTCTGGAGGATCAATGGCTCACAGTGTCTAAATATAGAAGGCGTACATTTGCAGCAGGGAGCGTTCCCTGCTCTTATTAGAACACAGTCTGATTAAACCTCATACCAGTTAATATGTCAAAGCACATTCATCTGTCCACACACAGGCCAGAACACTCAGGTTTAACTCACCCGCTATCCACTGGCGGGGCTTCCAGGGTGGCATGGGGTGGCACGTGCCACCCCACCCCCGTAATCTGATTGGCCACCCTGTGCCGTCTCAAACCGGAGCTGCAGACCCTGCTCAAACCATCCTAAAGCCCGTTCCTCAAGAGAGCCTCAGTAGTTATACTGCATAACAACTGATTAACAGTGTAAGATAGTGTTGTTTTATTGTGAAATTAATATGGACTAATAATGGAAGGCGGAGGCTGGGATGACGTGCTGTAATCATTCTTAGTCAAACTAGCTGTAACTGTTGTGTTCTTCTTAAAAAAGATTCCCTTTGTGGTTTTTTTTTTTTTTGCACAGTCTCTCCTTGATCTGTTGCAGCCAGCTTTTCACCAGCCCTGGATGAAACAACACATAAATCAAAAACCTGAAGTGATTGGTCGGTGACTTTGAAAGAGACTCAAAGTTAGAGAACAGACAACATGAGCTACAGCTCCACTGGCTTATTAATCTGTTGAACGACGACTTCCCTAATAGAAATCTACCACTCGATCAAGCATTGACAAAACGAATGTGTCGGTGACACAGAGGCACCAACCACAGAAGCTGTTGTCCACACATGACCACGAATGTGGGCGTGAGATACCATCAGGCTGCGTCCATATAATGAAGAGGGCGAAAAAGGTCACACCGCACAAACCCCTCATTACTGAGATGAACACACACTTTAAAGTTCAGTGGTGCAAAAACCACATGCACTGAGCAGAGATGAGTCATTCTCGCGCTGGCACGGGCTGGGCTGCCTTCAAAAAGAGAGACGCTGCAAATCAAACGAAGATGATCTGAGAGATCACCTTTATTCTCGGATAAAAGGTTTCTAGCCTGATTGGACGGCTCTCTCTCTCTGGATGACAGGCACATTTCTCAAGGGCACAGAGAGGTCATCAAATGATGTGGCAAACTGTGAACGTCACTGTATTGTTTGGTGTATTGAATACCTTTAAAATAATCTAGAGTTCAGCCAGTCAGTGTGCTCTAAAGACGTGAAGAATTACTGCGGCTGTTTACTCATGCCGTATGTAGCCTTAACACCTAATAAAGTCATGTTAGATTGTTGCTAAATGTGACATGACCTTTATGTCTAAACCAGAGGCTTTGACTGTCTGCATGTCCCTGTAGCTCTGCTTCTGTGATGATCTATAACACACGGGTCAAACTCTGGCCTGGGGGCCAAATCTGGCCCAAGGTGTTATTATATTTGGCCCAAGAGTTCAGAAGTGTACAAGAGTTGGCCCGCCACTATATAGGTTGACCTGTGAAAACATTCAAAAGGAATTCAAAAGGCTACAGATAGAGACATAACAAAAATCACTGATGTGTGTTTTATTTTGAATTTAATTTCCCATGTTTATAATATTGAGCTTTGGTTGTTCTAGAGTCAACACAAAACTAAAGTTTATTTCCATATGACTAATTCTACATTACATATCTGGAGAGAAGAGAAAACATAAACAATTGCCAAAAACTTTTAATAAATATTAAGTTTGACCCACAACTTCGTCCCAGTTTATAATTTTGGCCGACTGTGAATTTGAGTTTGACACACCTGTTCCATGAGGTCAAAGGGTCAAGCGTTGCTTTTCTGAGCTTTAATTATTTTTTCATTGCTGACCATAAATCTTCCCCTAAATCTAGCAGTCTAAATGTCTTATTGGACGTGAATTCAAAGCTAACCAACGCTGAAAGCTAAATGGTGTTGGTTCTGTTCCAGGACTGTTTCCACACCACTGCAAGACCGAGTAACAGTTATTTGGAGAGTTCGTTACGGGGTCATGTTTTGTAGGACGGTAATAAACAAACGTTTTGGAGAATCTGTAATGGAATCAACACACAGAAGCACACGTTTTCTGAAAAACAAACCCAGTCTGTCGGCAGTGCAAGACATCTAATAACCAGATACACACTTCACTGCACAGCCAACCAGCCTTCAATTTTCCAAAAACTCCCTGAAAAGCCTACCTCTCAACAATAGGTCTAATGGCCCTCGAGAGTGTGCTAAAAATAAACACATTTCAATTTATCTCCCCATCTCTTTCCACCTCTGTTGCTCTCCCTCCGTCCTAGTAATGACAGACTTCTCTCCCAGTGTGTTCATACACACACTGTAACATGCAATCAGCTTGGTTGGTTAATGTCCTAATTTGCCACTGTGAGGCTGCATGTCCTCGGAAATGTGTCCCCCGTGAAAATAACGTTTCTGTCACTCACTTTTCCCACACTGGCTTGGGCTTTTCACCAATTTTGCTTTTTCTCCATCCTCCTGTGTCTTAATGTTTTCCTTCCCCTTCCTGGCTCCTTGTGGTCTCCCCTCTAACGTAAGAAATATGTGCATGTTTTTCACTGTACTCGCTTTGTCTTGCTCAAGCTTGCCACATGCATGCATGCATGCACCGACACACAAATCCACACTGAAGTGGAAAAGGCCTGAAGCTCTCTACCTCACCGACGTCGTTTACCCTCCATAACACAAACACCACAGAGCAGATAAGCAGGGTGAAAACACAAAGACAGAGAGAGGTGAGAAAAGAGGAGAGGAGAGGAGGGAATAGTAGAAAGAAAGAGAAGAGGAAGAGAGGGTAAGTCCCCTAGTGGCGTAGACAAGTCAAGGTCCAACCTAACCTGACAAAACTCAGTGGCCAAGATTGAAGCTAGGGCACTTAGCAGGAGACCCACTTATGGCTTTTAGATGAAAGATGAAAGCAACAGCAGCCTTCAGGCTGGACATGCTAAACTTAAATCACTTTGTTGCCAGTTTTTACACAGAAACAGCAGATGAGTAGTGCGGTGCTCTGGGATAGATTCAAAGTCTTCCATATTAATGAAGTCTTTCACTTCCATCCCACGTTCTAAGATTTCTGCTTTAACTCTCCAACAAATAATCAAATTACAAACCGCTTTGACTCACATCGTGAAATCATTGCCAGTAGTTTGCATCAGACTTCACGCGAGTACAAAAGCAACGCCGTAACTCAAGCTCAGAGCCACTTGTTTCAAACAGTCCCTTATCTGATGAATTGATGTTGTTATAGCACTCGACCAACTACATCCATGTCAAAATGAAAAGAACGATGGTCTTTAAAAAAAACAACGTAATTGTTAACCTCTCCGATGTCAAAATGAAAAGAACGATGGTCTTAAAAAACAACGTAATTGTTAACCTGTAATTGTGAGCAGTAACCACGATGTATTTTACACATCACACAACTATATTTGTGCAAAGTGTTCTTAGGAAAGAAGTTTTTGTTGAGCTTCCACAGCAGGTGATAACACTGGGCCAGCATGTTCACCACACTGTGTGGCGCCATCTGTCAGAATAACATCACATATACGCATATGCATCTATAGTTAGCTGAAGATTGATTTTGTGTTCTGACACATCCTGTACTGTTAGTCTGGTCCTAGAAATGTAAAGGTTGTAGCAAAACTAAAAAAGAATTATAGCTATATAATGCAATATATGTATAATTTATAATATCTTAACAGTATATAACAGCACAAAGCTATACTCCTAAAGACAATCTGCCAAATACCCTTTAACATAAGGCCAAGGAAACTTCAGATTATTGACTGATGGAGAGCAGATCAAATCCCTCAACAAACAGCTACAGACACTGGTCCATTTCTTTTTTATTCTCTTGTTTCTCTGTTGGTTGTGAATTCTTGCACCATTCCTTTACTCTTAGCCCTGTGTGTTGACACAGACATCGTGAGGAACCAAGACAAAAGGTGTGACTGAGATTGTGGTTTCACTTCTGCCTCAAATCTCCTGTGGAAACTGTGACTTGTTGTACTGGGATGTACAGTGTCTACCTTTGGACCAAAGTACGACCAGCCACATTTTCACACAACACCATATTTGCACGATCAAAAATCATATCATAACACGCGGTGTGCACCACATGGCCTCACCCAGGATGTGACAACACTAACTAAATAGTAAAAGTGTTGGACTGCTTATGGTTGGAAGTTGGAAAGCTACATTTTTAACATTCTCTGAATTATAAATCTGTGACAATAAGTGCCCAAAAATAATGATAACCAATAGTTTCTCCCATTTCTTTAGTCAACATGCACTATATTAATTCATCACCGGGGGATCAGACTTTTGATGCTCTAAACACTCCTCCGATCAGAGACACTATACTCACTAAATTATCCTTTAAAATACTGCAAAACAAATCATGACCCTTCAAAGCCTAGAAACTCTACAACGTGATCAAAGACTGTCTGGAAGATTCCATGAAAGTCCACAAAAACATTACCTGAACTCATCATGGCAGTGGTGGCTGACGGTGTTAGGACAAAGACACTCATGACTTTTCAGACCCAACCTCTAACTCCCGTCACCTAGAGTGAAAACAACCTGGAGGGACACATTTATGTCTCACAGAGACACCGTACACCTCCTCTTAACGTGCCCTCAGGATACAAGGATGTCTGTGAGTTCATAACAGAGCTGCTCTACTTCTCTGAGTTACCATGTGGGCTATTTTTTAAATGAGCTGTACATCAACACTCTGGGTATCAGGACACAATTCTATTCTGCCCTTGGTCTGAATCCTGACCACTCAGACCCTGCAGGCCTCTCTGCTGCAGACTGTACCTGCCTGTAGAGACAGGCCCAGTGCTGCTGGAGACCTAAGGCCACTCGGGCATCCAGGAGATGTTCGTGTGTGTGTGTATCTGCTCAGAGGCGTTTACAATGACCACTCATTACAGACAAGAGTCAGGATGAAGGATAACAAACCGCACAACGGAGCCTGTGACGCGTCGCCCGTGGACACGAGGGGAAAACGAGCAGCGCATGACCAAAAACAGAAGAAGAAGAAAAAAAAAACACACCGGGGCATAGGGAGAAAATGGGGGATGGAAGAGTATACGTGGGATAATAAAGAAGACACGTGCATATTACTCACATCCCGGAATCTGTCCCATCTCCCCGTGAGCCACTTATCATCCAGAAAATTGCCGCTGTCGGAGCGAGCGGAGACGTATCCAAAGGCGCACACACAGAGCAGGGTAATGCTCAGCATCTGCGGAAACAAACACGGAGCAGCAGCACGGACACAAACACAGACATGGACAGACAGGGAGAGAGGACAGGGGTCAGGGTTGCTGGGACAAAAATCAATCACTACAGCACGTCAGCGATGAGAACAAAGCACCGGCTCCGGAGCTCTGAGGATGAGAAGGGGTTTTTGTCCTCTCCTACCTTGTCGCATCAGCTGCTCTCTCCAGACTGTATGTGCTCGCTGCCGTTTTCTCTCGCTTTATCAGCAGCCTTCCTCCTCCTCCCCCCTCCCTCCCTCTCTCCATCGCTCAGTGCGCAGCAGTAAACCGGGAACGCGCACGGCACTGTGCGCGCCGCTGCGCCGTGAGAGAGTACGGCTAGAAAACAACATATAGTGGAGAGATGTTTTATTTATTACTGGTGCCATGTGATATGAAAGAAAAGAAAATATTAATAATGAAGAAGAAGAATGGCTTTATTTTAAATATTCAATGCGTTCCTGTTCAGATAAACGATGTCTGAAAATAATAGAAATCAAAATATTCAAACAATTCATTGGAACAGTTTATTAGTTCCTCTGGAGGTCTTCAACAGGAGGTTCGCGGCCTATTATGGTACTCCAGAGTGTGAAATATTTTGTTGATTTAATTTTTAAATATATATGTATGTGTATATATATATATATATATATATATACACATATATACAGTATTTAGCACATAAATGAACAAGGAATGTCTGTACTATAATTTTAGTATTGGATGCAAAATAACAAGGAATTGTACTTTGTATTAGGCACTAGGCTCACTTTATATGAAAGAAAAAATACAAAATACATATAGTTCATGCATCTCTCCATTAGTTTGGGATTCTTGGTGAAAAAATGTCCATTATTTTAGCTATAAACTTTTTTGGTATTTTTTTAGATTTAATTAAACTTCCTTCTGAAAAGAAAATAATTCTTAATTCTAGAATTCATGCTGTGTTATAAAAGTCCTCACTGACAAATTATTTGAAAAAGAAAAAAAAACAAAAAACGTTTTACATGGACTGCTGCGTTACTGTGGCCGTGGCTGTTGCTGTATAAAACTGAAAACCAACATTAGCCTGCATATCTAAAAGCCCACATTCATTTGGTCTTTATGTCTTTATGTAGTCCACGTTCAATGAAGCTCACACTGTCCCAGTGGCCAAACTAGGAATGCTGAATGTCTTTCACACAATTACCAAACCAGAGCAATGAGGCTCGTGACAACGGTTCAGTCTCTAGAAAGATTTGCTCACATTCCTGGAAGAACTGGTTCCAAGGCTGAAACCATCGATGCTGTATGATAATAAAATCCTCCCAAATGACCGACTGTCTCTGGTTGATTTACAGAGAATCATGAAGAAATCTTGTATTTGCAGGTAAAAAAAAAGGAAGTTGTGGTTGATGTGTTTGACACAGACTGAAAGATATTTTAAAATCTAAAAATTTAGTTGTGAATTGCTCATCAAACACATCCTCTGATTGACATTATCAAACATATATGTGGCAGCATACACTTCACTTTAGTGTGGTGTGGTGGTGGGAATAAAAAAACCCACAACCTTCCAAACAAAGAGATGGCAAACAATTAAGACAGTAAGAATTATTATAAAAAATAAAAACATCATCCGTCACTTCACAGACGGTGGAGGGATTATACTGCTCAGGTTCACGGTGCTCAAAGGAGCTTGTTATGTCTGAAGTTTCAGTGATTGTCTGACTTGACTGTGTGGGTGTGTTTATATTTGTTGGCATTTGGAAAAAATGATGAGGCTAATATACACGGAACGAGTGCATCACACTCACGTACAGAGGCGGACCGTGCAGCTACCAAATATGCCCCGGAAAAATGTGAGCAGCACATACAGTATATCAACATGTGTGGGTACAGATGATGGGCAGAGGATGTTCAGTGTCAGTCCTGTGTTCGCTTTAGCCGGAAGTGTGCAAAATGTAAACAGGAAACGGTTTCTATGGCGGTTACAGAGCAGGATCTTCTATCAGCATTGTGTGCCCTCTCTCTCTCGTTGTTTTTTTGTTTGTTTCTGTGAAGACGGTTTGAATGTTGTAGTGTAAAGTGTTGCCCACAAGTTTTGAGTTTAAAACGCTTGTGCTAAAGTTCAACAGCGATAAACACATAATTAAATTGAGTCTTCCAAAAAAACCCAGAAGAACAAACTGTCTTTTTGTAGCTAAAATCATTTTAGTTATTCAGAAATTCCACTGTAATTTCTGACCACTTGTAAAAGGGTACAACACGTCAAACAAACACGAGGATGAATATTCTCCTCTGATCAGTTTCATGTTTTATTCTCCAAAATGTATGAGAACTCAGCCCAACAGAGTAAAAAGGTGAAAAGAAAAGTGTTTATGATGGTCAAAGTGCTGAGTCAGACATTCTGTACTGAAGGCTTTCTCTTGTGTCATGTTAGAAATCCATCAGAAATCTTTAAAAATATTTAGAATAATTTTATTGTTGTGTCATGTGATCCCATCAGTGAGGGAGGATGGATGGGTTGGATGGTGGACGGATGGATAGACAGATATACGTTTGCTCTACTTTGTACATAAATATTATAAATATATATTTATATATATTTTTTTTTTTCAAAAGCCAAAATATATTGTATGATATATATTATATTCCAATGGATGTATACAATGCTACCAAAAAGTGGCACGTTGGCACTGTTGAGAACATCAGAGGAATAATGTGGAACATTCTGAAGCACTTCTTCCCTTTTCCACGTTAATATTTGTATTATTTAAGCTCTGTACTGATAAAAAGCTGAACTGAAAAAAAACTAAACATGTTTAATAATAAAAAAAAACTGAAGTAAGAGAAACACAGGTGTGCCTAGAAACTGACGCATGCTGTTTTGTTTTTTCTAGACTTGTCAGTTGTGGTTTATTCTTTCTCTGTCAAACCTTGTATTTGTGTGCATGTGTGCATGTGTGTTGGGGGGGGGGGGGGGGGGTGTTGTTATCTGGCAAAGCAGGCATTTTGAGCACAGCTAAGAACACAAGGTCAGTGTGAGTTCTGTGTTTTAGCTCCAGGATGAAAAGCTAATAGCGCAATAATGACAGAGAAGGAAACTGGAAACTGCAGATAAGGCTGACTGAAACAAAATGGACAACACTGACAGGGTGATTACAGAGCCACCAGTGAGCACTGAGGAGAGAGAGAGAGGCAGAGAAAGATTGATGGTCTTTTTGACGGGGAATCGACTTTTTCTAGGACAATATATTGTCAGTGTGGATGTTAAAGACTCATATTGTCATTTCGTTTTTTTATAATTTCAAACATACAGTGTCCACACCAATTTCCCACCTCTAGGGCTTAACTTCATTTTAGCATTCACATGTTGCCTCCATCGTCTCATGACTAGAAACTCATTTAAGGTCTTGTCAAGGGACCGATCAGGAAGTCTTTGATCTGCAGCTGGAGGAACCAGAGTCACATGAAATTAGTTAAAACGGGCTCGAAGACAGAGCTTCTTTGTATGTTGTGGGAATAAACATGAGGAACAAAAAATAAATAAAAAAATAAAAAGAAACAACAACATCAACAACCAGAATTGATGTTTTGTCTTGTGAAAACTGGAATTCTACAAATAATCTCATTAGCACACGCTGCAGTTAATAGTAACTGTGTTTGGCTGCCATCTTGTGGTTATTTTTGCGCATTACATCCCAGTCAATACTTGGCAACCTTTCCAGGAAAGAGAAGTACATAAACAGTCCAAACTAAGCGATAACGTTATTGCGTAATAAATAATAATTAAAAAAAAACAAGACGAGACAAGCTGTTATTTAATATATGAAATGGTGATGTTTTTTGTGACGTCTGGTACACAACTGATCATTCAAGTTTGCTTTTGAAGTTTTTGCCTGACTTACTGATATGACATCTACAGTACCGAAACTGTCCATTTTCTTTATTGGATTCCTCTACCAGTCAGATCAAAAGTGAGCCGATTGCTGTACCTGCAGTAGTTCAATGTTTCTTGAAAAATATTCTCTTTTGTTATTAAAAAACCTATATTGTATTTAATATCCCAAAGCAAACATGGCAGCTAGATTACCTTTTAAACTTAGCTGTCGTTTTCATGCACTCATGTCATCGTGTCCACCTGTCTTGACTACTGACTACGGGCTTAGAATTAACCCTGTCATTTTAAGAAGAAAAAAACTGACGATACATTTTAAATACATAATCTGAAATACATCCCATGCATGATAAACATCTCGTCACTGAATATAGAACATTTTTATAAAACGCTAATTTAGAGCTATTGTGCAATATTTCCCTTTAGCCACTGGACGGCAGAAGAGAGCATGAAACTCAAACAGACACTATATTATATAATGGTTTACAGAGAAAAAAACCCATGATGCTCTAAACTCATCAAACGTTTACTTTATATTCATGTACTTAATATATAAAACAAATCTCACTGTCTCACGTCATTGTTGCCATTTTGGATCTGGTCTCTTTTTTTAATGTCAGAATGATCATGTTTGCACCATGGTCTCAGTCTTTTCTCACCTTCAGCCCTCAGTAGAGACACACGTCATGATCACCACAAGGCACCATGGGAGAGTTCTGTCATGGTGTGTAGATTGGGTGTCCCAGGGTGATGAACTATTCATATGGTGCTCAGGTGACACACCTGATATCTGCATGGAGACCGGGAGAAAGGCAGGGAGGGGCAGGGGAAGGGAAGGGGGGGGAAAGAGAGCAGAAAGGAAAGGAGAAGTACTGGAACCATACCATACGGGGAGGATTTGGGACAAAATATAAAATGAGTGAGTGAGAGTGACTTATTTAGGAGAGAATCCTAAGGAGTTTGGAGGTTTGGTTTATTGTACTGTGATGACTAAGGACATAGTGGAGGAAAGGTAACAGAATAGGAAGGAAGTTTATGTGAAAGGAGTGTGTGTGTGTCTGTCGACAATCAGATCACTGTTTAAGAAAACCATGCATTTGTCTCACAGTTTAACTCTGCTGCCCAACCCCCACCTACCCACAATTGAGCTCCTTCAGCTCAAGTGTGTCTTTGCAGGAGTGTGTTTACCATATAAACACTGGCTGTGTCAGCACAAATAGAGTAAACACACTCTTTTAAGTCTTTATCACCGTCTATTCTTCAGCAATCAGACGACTGATAACCATCAGTCCTCCAGTGTCTTTTTGACAGTGGGTAGTAAATCTATCCTTTTTCCCATTATTGACCCAAGGCCAATTCCAAATGCTCTTTCTTGTTGTTGGCTCGAAGCTTTGCTGTTGGTGCTTTGAGTTGTCGGAATGGTTAAGTACAGAGCTTCTCAAACTATGTAACGTGTACCGCCCATGGTACTAATAACAATCATAAGAATATTGATCCCACACTGGGGAAATAGTTGACTTAGCAGCCATGTGCTGCAACCAGCTGCTCTTAAAAAGGGACCAAATATGTGGTTCTTCTGAGGCTCAAACCCAAGACCTTCTGCATATAAGGCACACGTGGGATCAGGTGTCACAGATGTGGGAATAGGTGTGATAACTCACTCCACAAATAAAAAGAGTGGAGTGATTCTGTCTCATTCTCATTTCTGCAGATTATGTGGTAACATATTTGAGTTATATTTAAATGTTTCCCTGTTTTCTCTCTCTCTACTCTTCTTTTGGGAGTTCATGGCGCTCCATGGCTTTATCCCTGTGAAGTACTGTAATGACTGACTTTTCACTTCTAATATTACCACTACTATTAATATTCCTGTGAAGTCAAACTTTAATACTTTTTTCTTCTAAATGTACAACTATTTCTTCTGCACAGTGCAAAACCTTTGCAGTAAAATGTCGTCTTTTTTGGTAATTTTTTTTTACTCTAATTTCATCTAAATTAAACAGACGAGGTTTGGAGTATTCTGTACTTTATAAAGATTATTTTCATTTGTCTGAATCGATTAAAGTCACTCCCAATCAAACAAACAGGTGTCAAGCACATAGGTGTTGACCTTTTATCAGTCCGGTGTTACATCAGCACATCCCTGACTGCTGACACTGTCAACACGGATGAAGCCAGTCACAGCCAAGGCAAAGCAGGACCTAAATGTGGGCTGGTACTCTTCCCCACCTTTCTGTGTTACTCAGCCAACCGTCTCTTCGGTTTCCCCCTCTCTCTGCCACTCCCTGACTTTTTCCATCTCGCAAACGCACTTTGTCCTGCCTCTCACCTCGTTCTCCGACTCTAATGTTCTTTCTGTCTGTCGTAGGAACACGGGGACCGTCACAGTCATTGTCGTCTTCGCCGTCGCTTATAAAACTGTCTTCGGAGAAATCAGGACTACTCCATATTCAAACTCTGCCACCTCTTCCGGTCCACTTGTAAGGTAAGTTAAATTCAAGCGAGAGCTAGTAGTTACGACAGGTGCCGCAGTAACGGACACATTTGAAACATTTTAACTCAACAGAAACGGACTGTTTGTCCTTATTTGTGTGGTAAAATGTAATCCACAGTTATGTGGTGTTTTTGAACAGTATGGAGAGAATATTTTCGATAACGTCTAACTTTTTGTGCTCAGTCGGAACCTGTTAAGAGTCAGGTGTCGTGTAATCGCTGTGTTGCGTTCAAGATCAGTGTGAATTGCCACGATTGTGCCGTGTGGTGGCACAACGTATTTCAAATTGTCATTTAATTTTATATTTGCGAATTTTCTGGCATTACGGTCTCCCCTATAGTCAGCCCAGTAACTGTAATTTACATCGTGACATTATGCGAGACTGTAAAAACGACCTAAGTGTACTAAAATGGTTCATTTTCTTTTGTTATCTAGGTTTCTGTTGTCAATAAAAACAACAATGATGTTAAAATAGTCACTGTGACAAGATGTGCTAACACAAGCATTTATTCAGGCAGATTTTAATAAGGTAATTCAGGTATCAATTATAATTTAATTAGTCTAACCATAACGTTTAAGTTCATGTGTCCAGTTGATATACTTGATATAATTTATGTCACACTACACGTACAGAGCATAATTTTTACATGAACCCTAACCTGAAGGAAACAGGAAATTTGCACTGCTACTATCTTAAATCATGGTTCAACATGCAAAACATTACGACAACTTTATTCCTGTTCACCAACATGCTACTTTATTTTTGTGTGCAATCACTCTGAGTTTATTTTGGGGAAGATTCTGAATCACATCTGTCCTTTTATTGGATTGTTACGATTACAATAAACAGACATGTTTATAGAGTATTTTATTTTTTAGAATTATAAAAATATAACTTTAAATTTTAATCAATTAAAATGTTAATAATTTGAAGTCAACTATTGACAATTGTTTAAATAGTCCAGATAAAATTATTTAATGTTAAATTCACAAAGTATAGGAACATGTGTAACCAACATTTTCTAGTATTTAAATTAATCTGCCTAAAATGTGTACCCTTATAACATGCCATGTGTTTTTTCATAGCTGAAAAAGAGTAGCTATGAAAGCCAAGTGGTTTGATTGGAAAACGCAGCCTAATACTGTAAAAATATATTTTTACATGCACAATGGGTTGCAATTTAAAAATGTATACGTTAAAAGTGGTCTTTTTAGGATTGTAAACATGCATTTGTAAGTGTTTTCTTGTTTAGATGGAAATGTGTGTGTAAATATTCCTTGCTTATACAGTTTGTTTGTTTGTCTGTGACCGTCGTTGTGGCTATTGCCTGGGATTCTTGTGCTATTATAAAATGATCACAGCTCAACCAGCTGTTTACATTTGGTAAGTCATAGCCTGTCTGACCTGTTCCTGTGTGTTGATAGCTGCAGCAAGTAGCTAGTGAAAGAGGCAAGACACTTTGTGGAAGACTTGTGCTAGCATTTGAAAGGGAAAAAACTTTTTTGGTTTATACTGGATTGCACATTAGTTTGTTCTGTTCATAGGGTGTGGATGTATTAGAAAAAAAATTGATTTGGGGTGATTTTCTTTATACGACTCAAGGTAATATCGATCAAAGTTATAAAAAACCCAGTCCTATAGACAGGATATACGATATACATTTTGACAGTTGCTGACCCAGCTTCAAGACAAAAGGGTGTGCTAAGATAGCATGTTGCAATTATAAACAACTATTCATGTGCTATAGCATGGTGAAGCCTGTGTTTTTCCAAATGCAACTTCTCAAGACCCTAGATCAATTCAATTTGTTATGTTACATTCAAGAAGTACATTGACATATGATGTTGCAATGAAAATGTAAAAACACTGACCTGCTAACCCCAAATTTTTATAAACTGTATTTTCAAAGTAAGTCACTGAAGCTGATATATGCCCTTCAATACCTGCATTCCAACAATAACTTCATCCTGTTACAGTCAAGTCCAGGTCATGATGATGGATTACACGGTTTGTTTGTTGTGTGAAATTGTTCTGTTGGAGAGTTGACACTTGCTGAAGTAACAAAACGGCAAAACGTATTGCTTCTATATTGCTGATGATGGAATCATTGACATCTAAGAGAACCAAGAAATGAAGGCAAAATCTTGTTTGCTTCTTTTTTCCGGTGTTGGTAAGGTGTGCTGCATTAATTGTAATCAATGACAGGACTAGTGATATCTTAATTTAATAACAGTTCAGTGGGCAGAAATTTTGTTTGGACCACAGCTCGTATTCAAGCCAGGCTTCAAACATTAGAGAATAAAACATAATATTAGATTTCATTGATTTAAATTGAACACCTTTGTGCGACATCACCGACAGCTTCTGTAAATCATAAGAACAATAAATAATAAATAACAAAATAAACATTGATGAAACACATTGGCATCATCAATGTGTGTATCTTAGTTGAAATGGTAATTTACTCAAGTCTTCTTCAACTACAGGCAGAGAAGAGTAATTCATTTATCTTATTTACTCTTCTGTACTCGTCTGGTGGCCATCTTGTTTGTAATGCCCCATTTATATTCAAAAAAGGTGGCAGTGGTGCCTTAGAGCATGCAATATACCTGCATGATCATGGAGTGTGTTGTCAACAAAACCAATTCTGTCCTTTGAAAAAACCCAAAGGACATTGCCAGCGTAAACACACTAGCTCACAGCAATCGTTTGTCTTTATTTACAATGATTTGTAGCCTGAATTTGGTAAATTCAGTTCAGTCAGTCTACCACATTTACTTGAGTCCAGTTTTATCTGGCCAGACTTGCTTAGTCATGGAACTCGTCGTCATTTGTAATACCAAGGTAGCCCTTATTGTTTATATCAACATCATTCCTAGTCTTATATTTCTGCATTCTTTCCTCTATTTTAAATTAATTAATAATCCCTGGTACTATTTTCTCACATTTCAGCCCAAAAAAAAATTAGGAACCTATTTTTTAAGGCTACCATATCACGTTCCTTCCTCATACAATCACAACACTTACCATTATCTGTTTTTAAGAAATCAAGTTAATGTCTATTTGCCATGTTGGTGAATTCATCTTTGCATCAGTTAAACTCATTTTTATAGTATTTAACTCTATAGGTCTGCAGGTGTTCATTAATTGATTTATTAGTGAACACATATATGTTTTCAATTTACTCTTAATGACAGTATTTTGGAATTGTCTCTTTGTCTTACCTAGGTACACTATTTTTTGTATACTTTAATCCTCTTAATTCAGATAATTTACTTATGTCTCGCTTTGTGCACAGTAACCAGACTCCATTGTTAGTAACTTAAGTCATGACACATGCAGTCTTCAGTAGACAGTGGTCAGTTTCTATAGTTACCATCATCAGTCTGGCCTTAGGAGTGCTGGTAACAGTATCCATAGGACAACGCTAAACTAAATGCTGACCACAATGTGTCTTTTTCCTGTCAGGACGCAGCTGTTTTCAAATAAAACTCCTTATTGTGTAGAAGCAGGTGGTGGATATACTGTACAAACATATGTAGATGCTATCAGGAGAAACAACAGGATTCGTCATTTGATATAGCTTCAGAAGTAATGGTAATGGCGTCAACAGATATCGTAGGGTTTCCCCATGTGGTTAACTTAAAACAAAAAACTGGAAGATATTACATTTGAGATCCAGGTTTTTCCAATTTTTAAAAGTAACACAATTCAGAAAGTCAACTGTTCCTTGTAGGTCCATTAACAACAAATAACCTGACAGGACCTTGACATCTATCATATTTATACACCCTGTAAGCCAATGAGCCGTATCATAAGTATCATATTATACATAGTAGCTTTAGTGCAAGGCCAGGTTGGAAAAGTGGCATATTATTTGTATAGATTTTTTTTTTATGGGCCAACAGATAAACTAGATCTACCTGTTTTTAGCATGCTATCAGCAGGATCACATGTTGATCATTCGGGTCATGTTGTTTTCTAACAGGTTTGAACAACTTCAGTTGGAACAAGCATTCTTATTGACTAAGTCACTGTTTTATCTAAAATTTAGAAGAGTTGGTTTATGATCGTTCGTAATGCATAACTAACATGAGGAGAAGCATTTCCTTGCCCTACTCAGGTTTGCAGGAGATTTGTTTAACTTAGTTATTGTTGATAACTACAAGTTGAAATATAATTTGAAGAGTTAAGTATACAAATTTTCAGTAGTAAATTTAGTTTACTACTTTCTTTAACTTTAAGTTAAGAAAATGTATTTTATTGTTCTCAGTTTATAAAATGCATTTTTATTCTTAGTGAGTTTTAACATGGTAGAAAAAGTTATATTTTATTATGGCCTTTTTAAATGTGATTGTCTGTAATCCACAGTTTTCCCTCACAGTTCTCTTGTGGAGTGTGGAATTTTTTTCTAGAGGCTATGACACATTGTGAAAGAAGTCCAGCAGTTAGCTATTGTAGATTTAAAAAAATGGATAATTGATGGGTAAAAAGGTTTTCAGTGTTAATAATTAACAAAGTCAGAAGAAGAATGGTGATTGGCAAATACCACATGGGCTATGACCTGGACCCACAATGCCGAGATAATGGGACTTTGTGTTGGTGAAAAGAATTTAAAGGTTTTGAGTGACGTGAGTGCTGCCCACACCGTTCAGTGAAAAACATCACATGGAATAGAGTTTAATAAATTAGATAGATCAGAATCAGCACACAGTGAAATAATTAAAATAATTTCATTCAGTCTAGTACTGTTGTTGTTGTCCTCACAGAATAAGAAACACTCAGGTCAGACATGTTATGTTTTAACTCTGGTTAGCTGTTTTAGCTTATATGCTAATGGCTCTGCTGCATCATGGTGCTTGAAGCAACAATATTCCATTTCAAATCTAAAGCATGTCCAACTGTTTTGTAGTAACTAGAACCTTTACTGTGTAGACATTAGGAAAGAGAAAAGAGGGAAAACAAAAACTATTGGAGAGAGATGCAGGATGAGGGAGTGCTCAGTGCACTCCAAGGAGTGTATCCAAGGAGTGTAGGTCAGGTTCACTTGAGGCAACCCTAATTATATGCTTTGTCCTCCCTTTATACACTACTAAACCAAAGGTAGCCTCAGTTTTTAGGTCATTGTCAAAATGACATTTTTATTTTTTACAACTATTTCTAAAAAGAGTGTATTTATAATTTATTCATAATGTATCATAACAAATATAAACAAATTACCATAATGTTGCATAGATTGAAGAAGGAAAAGAAATTTGTTGGTCAAAATATTAAAGACATATAATGGTTTGTGAAAGTCATGTGATTTGAAGTGATTATAGTCTTGAATAGCATTTCTCCTGGGTCCAAGTATAATGAATCTGTTTTGTACGTTAGAAGAAAAGTAAGTTAACAAACAATTTGGTGTCATCTGCATCATCTACATCTACATAAACTAACGTACCTGCACTTGTCACAGTTTATGGTGTTCAAGAGGGAATGTGACTTAATGAATAGGATTCAATTTTTTCCACATTTGTACAATGTGAAATGCTACCACTAATAAGCATTCACAGTGTTTATCGTGTAACAGTTGTGCCCATGCATTGCTAACTCTGGACTGTCTTTATCATTTCAGCCATGCTGCTACCTTCACATCTACTCCTCTTCACCGGCCTCCTAACATGGTGTCACACAGCATCATGTGCTAAAGTTATTGTGGTCCCACCCATTATGTTTGAATCACACCTCTACATCTTCAAGACTTTGGCCACGGCTCTACTCCAGGAGGGCCATGAGAGCCATTTTCTGGTATCAGAAGGTCGTGAAGTGCCCCACTCTCCTCACTATCACTTTCAGCGCTACCCAGGGATTTTTAACAGCAGCACAGCTGACAGTTTCCTCCAGTCCAAAGTCACTAACATCTTCTCGGGCCGTCCCACCTTTCTAGAACTCTTTGACATTCTTGACCACTACTCTCAAAACTGTGATGCTGTCGTGGGCAACGTTGAGGTAATGACACGCCTCAAAGAGGCCAAGTTCGACTTGCTGCTGGTGGACCCTAATGAGATGTGTGGGTTTGTGATAGCCCATATTCTGGGTGTGCAGTATGCCGTGTTCAGCACAGGCCTTTGGTACCCTGCAGAGGTCGGTGCACCAGCCCCACTATCTTATGTTCCAGAATTCAACTCATTGCTGACAGACCGCATGTCACTGTGGCAGAGGATCACAAACACTGCTGTTTACCTGGTCCAGCGTTTTGGCGTCCATTATATTGCACTTCCCAAATATGACCGGATTATGAAGAAACATGGAGTTAAGCCTCAGGTAGCTATGGCTGACTTGGTACAAGGCAGCCGGCTATGGATGCTCTGCACTGACTTGGCCCTGGAGTTTCCCAGACCCACCCTGCCTCATGTGGTGTACATTGGAGGTATCCTCACCAAACCCCCCAACCCACTTCCAGAGGTCAGTACTAATTGATACACTAACAAAATATATTTTCTGATTTATTTGTGCATGTTGTTTTGTTGGTTCTCTCTTAAGATGAAATGTCTGCTGTTGAGATATTACATTAAAGTAAATACCTGATTCATTGCAGCATCATTTATCCTCTTAATCGATGTGACAGGGTGACAAAAAAGTGACTAATACAACTTTTGACACTTATGTGATGAAATTTGTTGTATAATTTCCTTTGAGGTGGTGAGATTAGCACTTAATGTCTCGCTAATTTTTGTGAATCTCTTGTGTGTTAAATTTTTAGTATGCTCTTTTTTACATCAACAGAAGATTCTGCATATATCTAAAAATATTATATATATTTATTTAATCTCTGTTTCTTTTTGTACATTTTTGTTGATAAACAGTTGTCATGCTTCTCAGTCACATCAGTTTTCGTTCTTTGCTGATTAAATAATTATAAATACTATTTTCCTTTTAACTTGTCAGTTATTAGTGGCCCTGATAACATGTACGTAACGACAATTCAATGGCTTTCACGGAAGCATGTCCTTTCTATTGTTGCAAAACTTTATTTAAAAAGGAAATAGTAGATACCTGAAGTCATTTACACCCAGCTTCTACAGGTATGGCAGTTAAGAGTTTAAATGATTTTGTATATTTTTAAGTTATCGCTTTGTTTCTGGTATCATTATATTCTAATACAAAGCAACCATTTATGGTAGATCTCTGATGGGGATGGGCCTGGGTTGAATGAACATGTTAGGGTTTTTGAAGGCAGAGGGAGGGGGTCATGGAGAGCAGAGGCGGGTGGTGACAGGGCTGAGCCCAGCATTCGAATGCTGAGGGCGCAGGCCTCTGGTATCCACTGAGGAGGATTTTGGAATGCCATTCCTGCCAATAGGGAGCATTGTGCCATGCTGTGTGGAAGGAGTTATAATGGAAGTGACGGGAGAAGGAGGCCATTGTTTTAGGCAGAGTGCTCAGGACACTGTGTCTCTTTTGTGGGTCACTGAGGCTGTGTTGTAGGGACAGTAGGCTTGAGCTGCTGAGACACAGAGCCCCAGTGTGGGCCTTATGTTTGTTCGTGCCAGGACCGACCAATCGTCCACCACAGCTGGACGATTGGTCGCCACCCATGCTGGTTCATTTGTGTCACTCCAACATGGCTGCTCCCTCGCCAGTCTCCCCCTGCTTACACTCCAAGGTTATTTCTTCAAGTACTTACAGTGTAGTCTTTAATTGTAGCTTTTACTTAGTGAATTGTGATGAGAAAAACGAGAATAATTTACATGTTTTAATGAAGTATTTAATTTTCTTTGTTCCCAAATGGTAATTTGGGAAAAAATAGTATATGAAAGTAGTATTAAAAATACATTTATTGGGTGGTGGCTGAAAAAGGAAGTGATTGTGTACAATAACACTAAATGGCACGGGAGAAACATTTCCATATATTTCATACTTAAAGGTCTTTTGGTTAGCCTTTCTCCTCTGTCTTTGTCTGTTCTCGTCCTCTGGGTTAGGCCTGTGTCAAAGTTATTTATTTATTTATCCAGTGGAACGAGCCTGTCATATGACTGATGTGCAGCCTATAAGCAGGCCTTCTAATCACAAGTTGCTAATAAAAAAACATGACATCACCACGATAAAATAGTAAATTATTCGATTCTGTGGAACAGGCGTCACTCAGGGTCTGTAGCCATGACAACAGAGTAATATATCTTTGACATAAGGTCACTGTTGCCCATTTGTATGAAGTGTGCGCATGATATCAAGTTGCTAAATTTAAACGCGCAGTTATCTACATGGTGAGTCATGTTCTTCTTGTCAATTCTACAGGATTTCGAAACCTGGGTGAATGACACAGGGAAGCACGGCTTCGTGGTTGTGTCATTTGGGGCTGGGGTCAAGTACCTGTCTCATGACATTGCTCACAAACTGGCAGGGGCCCTCGCCAGGCTGCCCCAAAGAGTCGTCTGGAGGTAAAGTATCTCTGTTCTTACTTTGACTCATAGATTGTTGTCCACGAAGACACTGTTTAAGTTTGTCCACCAAGGAATATCTGCAGTACTATTTATAATCAGTGAGTCACCTTGAAATAATCACTTTGTTCCTTTTGGATTACATTCCAAAGTCCTCCCATTCCATTAACATTTCCTCAAGTTATCTGAGGTTATCAAGTAAATAGTTTTATTTTATTATTTTGTTTTAAGTGACAGCTGGGCACTTACAGATAAGAAAACTCATTATGGTGCATCCATTGTTTTTTATGTCATTTGCTTCAATTATTAGCTGCTCACTATAACTGTTGTGTATAATCAGTGACAACACCTTTTGTGTTATTGATTTAGCTCTTAGTAAAGTAAACATTTACAATAGAACCTCAGGAAAGCCCAGATAAGTATATGAGCTCATACTCTTTTATGACACGCAAATGCAAATGTTGGCTCAGGAGGTAGCACCGTGCTGCTCAGAGATCATTTAAGAAAACATTAACAATTTTCTTCTACTGCACTTTCCCACTTTGTACATAAATGCTGACATTTCTTTTAATCACAGTTCACACATGTATTCTGTGGATGTGTACTCCACTATGGCCATAAAGTTAGGCTTTTATAAGAGCACATTTATTCCTGTTGTAAGTGAGTAAGTAACATAAAATAACTTCAGGTAACGGATAGTTAAGAGAATCCATCTTAGGTATTCAATTAATCTAGGTGTGAATGTGAAACTCTCCTTTTCAAATTGTTTTGGTTTGTAATTTACTGACTGCAATAACGTAAATTATTGTTTCAATTGTAATAATATGTTTATGGAATAATAACGCTAACACCAGAGAGCAAGTTCAAGCAGGTTCACACACAAATATCTGCTCTCTTATTTGCCCCTGACCTCCCCCATGTTCTAAGCTGGATTGTGTTAATAGTTAACATCTCCATGGGTTGATTTGATGGTGTTTGGTTTACTATGATGTTGTCGTACGGACAACAAGGCCAGGAGTGAACGAGTGGAAACCTAATATGTCACTGATCAAAGTCTTATGTCACAATCATTTTTAGTTTGGAATGCAATCATTGGTTTGTTAGGCCACTCATTTAACAATAGGAATAAAGCTCCACATCACAGGTGCTTGTTATGGGCTGAATTATATAGTTTATCAACTAATCGTAATAATTTAGTGCTGACCAATATTTAAATGGATTGATATTACTGTCAAGGGTATTTACTCTATAATCAGCAATTGTGAGAAAGTAATTTGTTTTTGTGAAATTTGTATTTAGAGACTGACACTTGTGAAGCTCTTAAAGTTTATTGTGTTATACAGCCAGAGGGTTTTCAGTTTTAGTGCCTAGGTCAGATTATCTTTTCTGATTAGACACAGCCAAAATCAGGGAGGGCAAAGAAGATGAGAGTGATTGTGAAATATTAAAGTTCAGGAAATAAGTCTGTCTGTGGTCGCTGATGTTTCTAAAGAGTGCAAGAATTTGAAATGGTTGGGACAACTTGGTACAACATTTAGTCTACTGTAATTTAGGGTTCAATTGGGAGGTGAATTGATTTCTAATACATCAAACTTTTTAAAATAAGGGTAGTTTAAATCAAAAGCTGAAGGCTGACGTTGTTACTCTGCTTCAGAGCATCCAAGTTTTTGGTTGGCTGGTGAGGTCAAGAAAGGTGAGGTGAGGTGAGATGAGGTTAGATGGTCTAAACCTTAAGACTTAGCTGTTGGTGACACTTATCTATCCCCAGTGGCCCTTCCAGACAGAGACGATGGAAAAGGAAGAGGGATAATGAGGGACGGGGACCAAGCCAAATGAATCGTGCCATTGATAATTGGCTGCATGAATGTAGGCTTTGATTGGCAGCACAAAGAATTGTGGCTTTGTTGGTGAGGGAAAGAAATGAAAGGGTTTGGGTGAGGGGGATATGTTTATATCCACTTATTGTCATATAACGTGGAAAAAGGCTGCAACATGAATTCTAAACAGTTTAAGAGGAGGAGAAAAGAACAAATTTCCTCTTGTAGACAATTGTATTTTATGACAGTTTAGAGTTCATAGTGGTCATAATTTATATCATAGTCTGTAGTCATCATGACTTATATCACAGTCCATTCTTATCATTAATAATTAAAGTGCAATAAATACTTAAGTAAAACCTGAGTTGATAGTTGGTCATTGTTGGTAAAATGGTGTTTGTTGTTAAGTTTGTACTTTTGAAATAGTATTTGGTGTTAACAACAAGAATGCCACTTCTCATTCCTGGCCCATAGATGGAGCTAAGTATGCATCTGAAGCTCCTGTTTAATTGTTGAGGTTAATTAGTGTTAACAAAGGTGGTGGTTATATCATCCTGTAAACTCAGTTAATCCTTTTTTTTTTTAAAATGGGTTACCAATAGAAGCTTTAGCAGGAAAGTCCTGTTTTAGCAGCATACTAGCATGTCGAAATTAGAAGAATGTAAGTAGTTAGCTAGTAGGTGCAACGTATACAGTGTGATAGTAACGCACTAGCATGTAGCATTTTAATTCAAGAGCCAACGCTAGGCAAATCTAACCCTGCTAAAACCTACTTCCTTGCTTTGTCTTTGGGTTATAACAGCAGATTTGAGTCATGTAGGTTGCATTACTGCCACCTATTGGATCATTTTTTCCCCACTGTTAAATATTTAACATAGAGGACATTCTGGAAAAACAAGGAAATATAGAGTAAAGGTGAAAGCCTTGTCACTGTTCGCTGCCCATACACTCTCTGTGAAACTCTAAAAAAACATTTTTCACATGATTCTATGGGTTTTGTGGTAAGGTTTTCCAATAACAGGTCAAGGTATTGCTGCTATGTTGACTTTGTGGAAAAGTACTTTTTGAAGCAAAAGCAGAAATAGTTTAGCATGTATGAAAGGAGGCATTATCCAGTGTTATTGACTTCCTCAAGTCATATTTTGAGTAGTATCTACTTTCAGGAACTAATAGATGTGTGAAATCTGACCCACATACATCTATAACACATTAAATGATTAAAACCAAATAGTTGTAAACTGAGAACATCAGCATAAGCACCGAAAAGGTAAATATACTAAATGTGCTGAATATACATGTATCATTTCTGTAGTCCATGACCAGCTGGTTTAATCAAATTTAACACAACTTAAAAAAAAATCTGAATTTTCTGCTTCTTCTTTTTTCCTTAGATTCTCTGGAATTCCTCCCAGTAATCTTGGCAACAACACCAAGCTCGTTGATTGGATGCCACAGAATGATTTATTAGGTGGGTACATTAAATATTTTATGACTATTTGTCTCATCAGCAGCAATAGCTTTTTTGAAACCAAATTTATTACACAATATATAACTGCAAACACCATTATGTGTCTTCACGTGTAACCTGAAATGTCTCAGCCCTCTGATTGAAGGCATGTTTTGACACATTGCTGATCCCATGTTGTTTTTTCTGTTGCAAGTCGTTCTCTTGGGTGTGGCAGGACAGGTTCTATGCAGGAGGGTTTCTGTCGTACCCAGAGTATTAAAAAAAACAACGACAGTTGGTAGAATGTGGACATGTTGGCCACTCTGTTCCAGTAAAGAATGAGAAATATTAAGCAACACACTCCTATTGGTAGATACCATTGTATTCTGCAACAGTTAAGTAATACTGTCATTTACCAGGACAGCAACAACGTTTCGCTTGCCTGCTTTTGGATGTGTTACAAAACAGGTTACAAAACAACGATACATTTAACCTTTATCTCTGTTGTCACTGGTTCTACATCACTGAAGAAAAACATTTTTTTTTCCTTTTTCTCTTTATCATCACCTTCAATTTTTTCCTCCTCCTCCATCTTTACCTTCTCTCTTTTTCTTCTCTTATTTTTTTCTATTTTTTGTCCATCTTTTCATTTTCTCTTCTCCTATCCTCTTTCGGTCTTTCTTATTCTCTTCCTTGTCCTTCTTCCTCCCTTTCTTTGACTAAACAGGGCATCATAAGCTTGATAAGCTTGACTATATCCTACTTTATCAATAAAACAGAATTGTTGTAAATCGTACTGTTATTGCTTCATTGAGGATGTCACCTCGTATAGCTGGAGAATTAGCATTGACCTCTGTTAACTACTTCTAAAAAAAGGGCAAGGCCTTTTTCTTCTTCTGCAACAACGGCTGAAAAGCCTCAACTGTTGAAGGTAGTTATTGCAGATCCAGCAGAGTGGTTTAGCAAAGTGTCTCAAGGCTGACTGTTAAATACACTGGTGTTGAAGAAATACTAGCAGTGTAATCTCCAAGGCCTCTGTCCATGCAGGGTGGATTAGTCTAGAATTTTTACAGATTTGGTCGGCACATACCTAAAAAATAATGTATATTATTTTTAGGTATACAAAGGTAGGTATATAAATATTTTTCTGTATATATAAAAAAATATATAAAAAAATGTATAAATATTTTTCTGTATATATAAAAAAATGTACATGTATAGGAAACAAGGCTCACATTACATTATTTTTGTGTAAAAAGTAATTTTACAACAATTAAAGTTAATGTATCTTGATTTTCACATACTGTACCAAGTCATCTTTGAATGCAGCGCAGCACTTCCTAGTTTTATCTGGGAGTTTCTTTGGCGTTCCATTGTTCATCCATATAGGTTCAGTGTATCGACGGACAGCATTAAACCAGCATGAGGTATTCCTCGGATAAATTGATTCTTTTACATGAGTTGATTGATCTTGGGACAAACACACATTACACCTGGCTCACAAAGACAGCGTCCTCTCATCTCACTGTCACACAGGACATCCCAACACACGTGCCTTCCTGAGTCACGGTGGTCTGAACAGCATCTATGAGGCCATGTACCATGGCGTTCCGGTGGTAGGTGTCCCCCTCTTTGGTGACCATTACGACACCATGACACGTGTGGCTGCCAAAGGTATGGGTGTCATGCTCCACTGGAGGTACATGACAGAGGAAGACCTGTACACAGCCCTGACCAGTGTCATCAAAGACAGCAAGTAAGATTTGTTCACGTTTCTTCTCCGTGCTTTATGTTGGCTTTTTTTATATTGCAGTATATAAGAATATGTTTTTACATATACAGCTTTTTACAGAGAAGATTAGATGCATTAGATGTTAACTCATTTTACTTTGCACACGGAAACTAAACTCAAAAGTACTGCCTCGTAAGAACTGACTTACTGATTGATACAAAAAAACAGTGATGTCGTTAACCTTTTAGTAGTACTGGGCCGCTGTTGTCCTTCTTCTGATATTCAAAGGTTGTACCCTTGCACAGGTACCGCCAACAAGCACAACTGCTGTCAAACATTCACAAAGACCAGCCTGGCCATCCTGTGAGCAGAGCTGTCTACTGGATCAGCTACATCCTCCGTCACAATGGTGCCAGCCACCTGCGCTCCACTGTCTACGAGGTGTCCACCTACCAGTACTTCCTGCTGGACGTGATCGTCACTGTGGGGGCTGCCGTGGCTCTGGCTGTCTTTGCTCTGCGACACTTGGTACGGTCGTTGCGAGGGAAATCAAAGCACCAGAGCAAAGAAGCTGCTGCCGCCAGGGATGACGGTGTCACGGCGAACGGACATTGCCACAGTGAGACCATGGCCAATGGGAAGCACAAAGGCAATGGCTCCTTGAAAACCGATAAGAAGATAAATTAATATTTTAAATGCTCTGGATAGATGAGGAAGTTGCCCTCAGGACTCTGCTCTTGGTTTGGTTCAGCGATATTGCACAAGCTTAAAAAAATTAAAGCTTTCAAAAGTCTGCGTCACGAGGCAACTGCTACTCAGAGCGAGCGACAGGAAGAATACACAAATACACACTGTGGGGACAGAAGAAGGAATTTGGTGCTCTGAATCTGTGTGCGTATGGATGTGTGTGTAGGTGTATTTGTGCACTGAGGCAAATTTACTGAGAACTTAACAACCGCAGCTAGCACAACACAAAACCAAATTGGTGTCACTGGGGAAGACTCGCAGGAAAGACACACGGGAGGACACGGGCATCTTCTCTGCTGCATGTTCCTCGCGGTCTTCCTGTCTTCCTCAGCGATGGAAGGATGACAAAGAAGAAAACCTGAGCGCCAACTGTCCAATCCTCAGACATCAAAGCAAGAAAGTAAAGAAATAACTTTTAAATTATTAAGAAATTAATATTTTTTTTAACTGCTTCAAGATGTGTCTGATAAAATGGAAATGGAGGACAAATCTATTTATTACTGTAAACATTTTAACAGAGAACCTTTTGAACCTGTCTGTCCAGGTTCAAGGATTTATCTGTGTTGGTGGTTGTGGTAGTATTGTGGTTTGAAACACATCTGATATGCAAAGTACCAACACTGTGTCCTTAATATTAGTGAAACAAACCAATAAAAAAACCTCCCAAAACCTCATCTGCAATGTCCAATCACAACGTCATGCTTCTTTTTTCCACACAGTGGCGCCAACCTGTGACTAACAGATGTTTCTCATACAGATTATGACAGTAGGGCTTCTCCGTGTGACAGTTCCAGTATGACATATAAAATCCTAGCTGTGGTTGGACAAGTCCAGATGGGAATGTTCTCCTGTCCATCCGGTCATATGATCCAGAACAGATCAGGACTTTATCCATTAACGGTTACCAGTTAAATCAGTGCTTCTTTTAGTTTTTTTCCCCTCGATTTACCGCTGAAAACGAATAACTCGTGATTGCCATTTTAGTGTGACTCTGTACCTCATACCTCTGCGATTTTATTTGTTAGATAATTTATAACATGTTCGATATGCTTGTTTGTAGCGACACTGCTATAGGTTTTAGCTCTGTGTAAAAACTAGTTTAAAAAACGTAACTATTTGAGTTTGGATGATTCACATTCTGTATGTGGCCTTTTTGTAATGTGAGTGTGTGTGTGTGATCAGTGTGTGTGAGTGTAAATGTACACAAAAGGGTTAGTAGTTTTTAGCCTTTTTGTGAATTGTACATTTTAGTGTATACAAAAAAAAAAGGGCAGATGAAAGTACAAAATAGTAGCATCACACTTGAGGATGACTTCAGTCGTCAAACAATATCTCTGCCCAGAAACAGGACTCTTATTTTTTTGTTGTTGTTTTTTCCCCATTAAGACTGAACTTGCTCTCGTTAGGTGTTTTTTTTCCATCCTGCAGAACAGTACAGTAGTTAAAACCCATCACTTTCTCAGTGAATAATGATACAAAATGAACGTTTTTCTCTTTCCAGCAGTGAAGTTTGAATCTTTGGTACATATCTTGGTTATGGACATTTCAGAAGGGCCGGGACACTTTGACATGAGATGTGAAATGTAACTTTCTCCTCCCGTCGCATTGATTCTATGGGTTGTTTTCATTGGATGCAATTTAGGTCTTATTTGTGTCACAAAATGTTTACCAACCATTTAATGATCTCACACAGACAACAAAAGTTTGTTTAAACACAACATTTAACAGGAAACAATAATGTAATATCCATGATTTTTTTTTTTTCAAGTTTCATTATCATCCTGTCTCTGTGAGCTGTCACAGCACTTAGCACAACCCAGCCTTGGTTGAACAGTGACTTTTATACTTGAATCATCATCTTTAGTAAAAAATAAATAAATAAACCATAGCTGTCAGATACAGGCTGGTCCACATGTGCTTCACAAGCTATGAACAGAGTCAGGAGGAAGTAAAAGAAAAGACATGGAAATATCCATTTGTAATTTTCAGTATTAATCTCTTTTAAACCCATAAATTAATATGTATCCATGGCTTTAATTATGTTATTGTCTTCTGTACTTATCTGTGCACTCAGTGATGTTGTCACGCTTCTGTTAAATTAGCTTGAATATTGTTGAATATGTTCTATGTTCTCTGTCAACTGTAAATGTCAACTTGCTTGCTCTCTCCTTGCATGTTCTTATCTTGCCCCCTCCTCCCCTAAACATTTGACATGTCAATTTTTTTACTTGATTTTAAAATGACAAATTCTTCATTTTTCTTGTCACGCGTGTCCATGTTGTAAATAAAAAAAAATCTAAACAAAACACTAATGCTGAATAAAGCTGATATTACATGTCAAGAAATGTTTTTTTTTTTTTTTTTTTTTTGAATCTCATGTATTTTATCAGGGAAAGAACTGCTTTTTACAAACACATGCATGGCATACACTTCGTTACAGTTGCGAGATCAGGGGTGTCATCATCAACGGTTTTAACCAACGGTTTAAAAGTAAATCGGGTTAATCCCAGGTTAGCTGTGGAGTAATCATAATTCTTTGTGATAACAATTAATCAGGATTAATCATTATTAATCTGGATCGATGTTTTCGAGTCAGAGAGGCAAATAACAGCAGGTACAGACCTGTTTTTATTGGTGATGGCTTAGAAAAGTGTTGAACAATATGCAAAAGTGTATAAGTTATATTCTATTTAATATTAATATAAAATAATTTTTAATCTATAAATATGTCTACATATACATGTATTTAAATATATTAAAAACAGGATGTGGCCTATATTCTGTGTGACATTTCTGGTGCATTTGAATTTAACAGTGGGGGTGTGGCTTGAACAGGGTTGTTGCTTTGTTACCATAAAGTACAGTACGTCTGCTGCAGGTTCTGAGACCTGACGGAACCGACGCTGGTTACAGCAGCTGATGCTGCCGGCCTCACTTTGATAGGGGATGTATAGGCTTTCTGTGGGGCACTGTTACCAGGCAGCAAGAGGTTTTGCAGGTATCAGATGGTGGAATCATCTAAAGTAGCCAACTGCACGCACACATTAACACACGCTGCGAGGACAGATGGGGTTATCTAACGCTGTCCGCACTTGTTGAGTGCGGCTGGAGAAACACAACACCCAGGTTTGTGTCCTACCTCTGCTAGTGGCCCTCTCAATTATTCAGGGTGCCTGCGGGAGTCTGTAAAACCCCATCCCACACTCCCCATTGGTTTAAACACAGACACAGAGACTTGCTAGCGTCTCCATGCCATGTTTAATTTACATTCTTGGGGCTGTTTTCCTCCGGAGGTTGTTGCTGGAGGCCAAATCGGGCAGCCATCCTCTCACTGGGACAAGCAAGGGTGTAGAAAATGGAGGACAGGCCTGCGCTGATAAGGAAATGTGATATTGCATCGGATAACGCTCATGTTATCCTCTGTCTACATGGCCCTTTAACCACTCCCTCCTCAGACTTAGTGAGTGCCTATTATTTACATCTCCCCTTCACTGCAAAGGTTAATTATAGGAGGCAATTATCCATTTTGTGTTGAACTGCGTGAGCTCACTGCATTAACCATGGCTCATCCCACTTGAAATCCAAGAGATTCATCTGCTAACAGTTTGACAGCAGTGTGCACAAAGTGAGAGTGAGACAAACATAAAGGTGTGGCCGGTAAGAACCTGTTCCACATCACTAAGGCCAGAAAGACATTTGAAAATAAAATGGAATAAAGTGTAAGTCATTCGAAAAATATTATTAGAAAATATTTAAAATACTGTAATAAAATCTCATATTTACAAGGAGACACATTTGGAGTAAGGAGAGAGACATTTATGTAAAATGCGAAATTTGGAGAATCTTCTGAAATGACGTTTTAGCATTCTTTTTAACAAATAAGGGACGGCATTGAACAGACTTTGAACTGCTTTTTCAAATAAGGGACGGCATTGAACAGACTTGATTGAACTGCTTTTTTAAATTGTTATTACTTTTCTTATTCCAATAATACCCTCTTTAACATTCGTGTTTTACTTTTAGTTATGTGATAATATTAAAACTCGTAATGTTAAAACTCTATCATTTTAAACTTACCACGTTTTAGTCTCTTAACCAAACCCCTTTTTGTCGTAGTGATATAAGAGTAAACTAATGTCGTAGTTTTACACTTCCTCCCTCACTGGCCCTGAAATCTACTACTGTGGTTTATTCCAAGTCACGTGTTTTAAGTTGCAGATCGATAAAAACAAAGACAGTTTCGGTTAGATTGAATTACGGCCATATAAATAATAAAGTGTTTTATTTGTCTGCAAATTGACGGGGAAAAAGAAACATCACCATGCAGTTTACTTTTAAGACCAGTAGAGGGTAGTAGTGTTTTACAGTCAGCGGTAGAGTGTGGCTGCAGCTCGTCTTTATTCCACCAGTTTCCCCCGGTGCTGCTGTTAAAACCAACATCTCTTTGACTTGTTGTCTTGCTTGTTATAACAGCGAATACAAGCTCATATGCGTCTGTGGTTTCCTGCGGTCCAAACGCGATCGGTTATTTTAATGTAGTTCTAATTTCGCGCAAATAAAAACTAATCAAACTCCTCCCCACTTTAAAATGTCTGCGCTCTGACGGATGTGACCAAAACCGTAAAGCAGCGGTATTTCATCATTTTAGACTCCAAACTGTTGGAGAGATGGAACGGGGTATATATTTTTATTTTATTTTATATCAAACAGGACCTAGAGGCCTGTATAAAGAACACGTAGTGTCACAATCAACATCGTCTGATGGCCTGTTACTGCCACTAATAAACAACAATACTTTAGCTTTTTTCTGCTCTCTGTAGAACCAGAAGATCCCCGGTTTACTAGTCCGAGCCTCCATGTTTCTCTATGGAGTTTGGATGTTCTCCCTGTGTTTTCCCCAGTGTAAATGAATATGCACAGTAAGGTGAACAGTTCTATTTAAATTCACTATACTTTTGAATGTGAGTTTGAATGGCCCCGTGAATGGACTGTTGAACTGCCAATGGTGTATTGTGCCCTTGCTAAATGGCCCCTGTGATTTGCCCCAGTTCCCCTGCTATAACCTTGAAAAGGTTGACGCGGCAATAGAAGAATGCATGTCTACTCAACTAAAAACCCTCACCACCCCCTGCATTACCTGTGGACCCTATGGGAGACACAGACCTTTTTTTCAATATTTTTGTCAAAATATTGACTAGGTTAAAAACACTAGAGTCCACTAAGATAAGGCATTACCAAAAAAATAAATAAATAAACAAATAAAATAAATCAGTGACATGTGCTATATTTGTGCATGCAGGCCTAAAGTGTTAGCATCTGTGTGTGTGTTGTTCAGGATAGATGGAGTCTTGTCACTGTGTCTCCATGGAGATAAGGAAAACCTGACAGTGAGGAAGAGAGAATGACAGCTTTTATATCAATCACACTGACTTATAACGTTATGGGGTTAGTAAAGGATATTAGGCTGGACCCAAATATAAATGTCATGTGGTGTGCATGTCAACAGCTGTCAGACTGGCCTCGCCTCTTGCCGTAATCTCTGAACTGCAGTGACCACACAAAAATTCACACATTCACACTCAAACACGCACGACACACTGACACACAAATGACAGATGCCAGTGCATGTCGGCCATGTTGAAATGCCTGGACAACACCCAGGAGGAGAAGTTGACCAAATGTTGTTCTGGCATGAAAATCGACCTCTTCCAGGTTCTCTCTCAGTCTCTCTCCCTCACTCTCTGATACACTGTGATTTTCTCACTTCAACATGCCCCAAAAACATCGTCCAACCCGAAGTCTGTGAGGTAATGCAGCATATCTGTGCAGGATTGGAAATTCAATTGGGGAAAATCAGGCTTTTAACTTTTCAGCCAGATATTTCATTATGGGATTGAATTATTGCTGTGTCGCTGCAGGGCACTGAGGTAATGTGACTAAGTAAACAATAAATAAGCCCCAAATAAACACAGAGCCAATGCCATGCCTGATTAGAAAGGTAACACCTACAGCTGACCTATAATTCAATCCTGAAAAGCCAACTTACTTTTATACGTGTGTGTGTCTATTAATGTATTGATGTGGGGCATACATTAGCGTCAAGATAGATACCTGACCTCTACTGTGAATGACCAGTTAGAAGAGGGGGAAGAAGAAGAAGGGGGAGAGCAGCGTACACTTATTTTTCAAGATTCAATAATTTTGGAACTATTTCCTAGAAGCAAATTTACAATCAAATATCGTTCACAATTTCCTTTCTTGCTCTTGCTCAAATATTATTTTCATTTATTTAGATACATTTTTAAAACATCTTTGGTCATTTCTGCCTTTAGCAAATGTGGAACAGTGGTGGAAAAACATTGTGTTGGTGTCACTTTCTTGTGCAACTGTAAGGACAACAAATAGAAAAAAAAAATCAATGATGGTTGTCATGCTGGCAGCGATCTGAGAGAGGCTACAATGTTGAACAACTGTCTCATTAAGTAACAGAGTCAGTGATAAGTGAGTCAAAGTGACTGCAGGCATTTCCCTGAAAGCCTCAGCCGATGTCCAATAACTTTGTTAGGACACTTGTCAGATATCAGATACCCAGGCTGTCCGACATAACCCAGTTTTAATTCCAGGTTATAGTGAAGGATAATATGGTTAACTCCTACCAGAGGTATCACTTGCATCTGCTTATCTTAGGTTCTACGTCCCCGTGCGGATGGACAGTAACCCACAGACACCTCCATTGAGTTAGTCAGTGAGCTCTCCATCACTGCCAGCAGGAGCCTGGTGCTCTTTGGTTGGTTGCAGGTTGATGGATGAGCCTCCCTTGAGCATCTCTGTTAAAGTGCTCCTCTATCAGGCTGCAGCCGCACAGGCCTCACATTTGATTAGATCCCAACGGAAGCCAGTTGCTCCCTGTCATCACTCATAGAGCATGGGGCCGAGATGCAATGGAGACAGCCATTGGTGCACAGAGCCTCACGCCTGATGCACTGAGGAAGCCATTTCAAAGCAAGGAACGGATATTATGTGACTCATGTTCAACTCCGTCTCAAGTCACGGCTGCGGCGCGCGGCTGGAGAGGAGAGATAGGGATTTGAAGAGGAATACTTATGAAGAGCAGAATGTTATTTCCATTCTTTATGAGAAACGTCCAGAGTGAAAACCTTATTTAAGATTCTATCAATCAAACTGCCCGCCTATTCATTTAAATTACACCTGAAGGAGAGCGACAACCATTACAGCACTTTGGAACTCAAAAGCCTTTTTCTGCTTTTTCTCCTAACACACACACACACTCCCTGTGTGTGTGTGTGTGTGAGAGTGTGTTTTTGTCTCTTT